TCTGGTCTGAACTTCGTAATAGCATAATTTATCACGGCAACCCAGCAACAATATAAAAACTATACCTGAGAATTTCGTTGTAAAAACGTAAACTTCAGAAGTTGATCGGTTTCAACATTTTTGTCATTCCGTGGGGTTGTATCAACCACTCCCTACTTCTAACAATAATTATCAATTCACTGCAATCGACCTTGCAATCACTTCCCGCCAATCTAATATGAAAGCTTGGGAAGTATAGTTGAAGAACACGGCTCTACCACTTAACTTCAATCTTCACTTCAATCAAATAGATATGGTAGCACTACGCTTTTCAACATATTCTACAAAGAGCGACAGCTCTGTCTTAAACAGCTATGAGATGGCTCGGAAACGCTGGCTTGCGTGGTTACATTGGTCTAGGAACAAGAATGTTTATCGGAATAATCCCGCAAGTTGTGGACTCGGCTCTGAACTAACACGATTTTTGAGAGACTTATTTTTAACAGTAGTTTTTACATGATATACCAATGGATGATAAGTCTAATTACCTAAGCTCACCTGTCTTGGCAAACATATATATATTGAAGTCGATTGTTTTTAAAGAATCAGTCCGTAACCTACTATTCTGTGTCTATAAGTTAACTTATTTCCTTTTCTTCAATAATGTACTCGTTACATCATAATGATCTGTTTCAAATACTTCGTCATATATGTTGTTCTGAACGTCATACAGTAATTATGCTGCGTATTATTTGGTTCATTGTATTTGTTTCATTGCTGCATTGTATTTGTACCGACGAAGATTAGTTTAGCCTTGTTTTGGTTCAAAACAGGTGAAAGTAGTTAAAGACAATCCGATTGGTGACTTGTACCGAATAATGGTAATCGTAAGTGGGACCCTGATTTTTGGTACTTAAGTAAAAAGTACAGTCTTGTAAAATGTAAGACTCAGTATCGAACAACTTTACATCTTTTTCTCGCGTTCGTACGCCTTATTTGTGATATACAAAGATACAAATTAATGCTACACAAGGAAGCGTCCGGTCATTAACAAAGCAAATATATGTAGAAGTATATATATATATGTATATATATATACTTCGCGAGTTTTAAGCAAAGGAATATAGCGATCAGCTAATACATATGTTAAAGCGTGATTCAAATAATATTATTTGATTCACTTTTAAGCTTACTCGTTTCTTTATACAGTTTCATATAATCTGATAAATGTTAATATTTAAATTTATCATAAATTGTCACATTGGCGTATATATCTATGTACGTGGCGATCACCAGGCGATAACAAACAGGTCTCAATATAAAGCTTTCAGTGACGGTCAAGTAGTTTAATAGCAGCATTTTACCTGAAATAAAATGCATATTAAAATACTTACCTCACTGAAAGCTTTCACTTTAAATTCTGCCTGGTGAAATAATTGAGCCAATGAGTTAATATGGCGCTGTCAAAACATAGGAAAACAAAAATGGCCGCGCTTCTGCCAGGTGTCGCCACTGGACCGGATACAAGGTGATTAAAAGTACGGAAACTGATGGTAATTCGACGGGAAACGGAAGTGCTATCTCAATATAAAGCTTTCAGTGAGGTAAGTATTTTAATATGCATTTTATTTCAGGTAAAATGCTGCTAATAATTTCAGAATTGCAATCGGTGCTCCCATTTTTGTCCATTGATTGTAATACTGTACTAACTGGCCGGCGTAGAACTGTTGAAAGTCATTGTCTCCGCTTTTTAGGATTTCCTTTGTGATTTGGCGGGGAATAATGTCTCTTACGATTCCCTCGCTGTGAGTTATACATTCCACGTTCAGGCCGTGAGCCATGGTTGCGAAATGACCCTCTACCACTGGTACTAGCTCTAGGTATAGAATTATTGTCATAAGGCTGCTCTCGCGAAGAGCATTGGTGACCACACTGACCCTGCGAGGGTAAGTCATTATGTATCATCGCATTACGCGCTTGATCTCGGTAGTTGTGAGATGGATTACCATGCGATGGCAATTTGTAATGGCTCGAACCCCGCGAGGGTCGGTTTGAAAATCTATCTGCTCTAAGCGAAGAGTTTGCAGTTTTGCCATCCTTAATCAATGGCCAAAATACTTTACGCACTCCTCCAGCTTTTTCCAAAATTGATGTAAAACTTTCCGGAACGAATAAATACCCCGGCGATGGAGGTATTTTAATTAAAGCAGTTTTTAACAAAGGATCTCGAACCTTCTTTATTATCATATCTCTGCGCATTTCAATGGCTTCTGCTCTATGGCCACAAAGCATTTGTAAAAGATCGGTAGAAATTTTCAAATAATCGCTGGTACAAAACAATTCATTAATTTTATCATTAAGCGAAGAAAAATTACAATCAGAATTTTTGGCCCACGTAAGTAAACTGCTGAGAGAATTTTCTAATATCTCCTTTTGTTTTAAAAAACAAAAGGTTAAAGCAGCATAAGACTTGTCTGCATATGCTAAGTGCCGGGAGGTATCATAGGCGCTGATCTCATCATTTACTTCTAGTTCAGTGAAACCGGGGGTGTGTATGTATGATTTCTGAGTATCAACATAACGAACCTCTGACCAAGACTTTTCATTAAAGTGTTGAATTTCGAGAAGCATTTTTAAAAAAATTATCTGGAGTTTTTGGAATGGATGATTCCTTAAGCTTAGTCTCTAATCCTAATGTCACTTCATTATAATTATTAGAAAACGTATAATGAGTATCGCTGCAATTGTTATCATATAACATCCCGCTAACTCCAGAGCTTACGGAAACATTATCCTCGTAATGCATCGCATCAGAATTAGAATGCGTAATAAATTTTTTCAACTCACCCATCTCCTTGGTTAATTTTTCAAGTACACTATTAGAAAGTCGGTTACTTTTATTTTTCTTATGCCGGTGACGCTTACAACGTTTTCGTTTTGGAATACTTGCTTCAGAACAGGAACTTATAGTATCACTTGTACTGGAGTCACTGCAGCTAGTGGAGTCACCATTAGCCTTATTTCCATTTTTAAGTTCCGATAAATTTCCAACGTTATTACTGAAATGGGAAAAGGTTAATACAACTGTTCTGTTCATAAAACAATATATGTAGCAAATTCTATAAAATAAATAGGCCACACTAAAAACATAATATTTTTGTGAACTATAAAAACGAATGACCGCCATTTGAAATAAAAATCGAACTTTAAAACCATTAAAGATAAGAGGTTTTTATTAATTGTTACTTAAAAGGAAAGATAATAATATTCAGTGCACAATTAAAATTAGTAGGTCAATGAGTTTCTACAAAAACAAAATGATTTTGCAAAGAAATCATTAAAAACGAACGGTAAAACCGTTATAAATATAAGAGTACTTACTCAGTCATTATTAATAACGAATCGTACGTTATTTTACCTTATTATATTTTTAATACAGACACTTGAGAGTGAAAATATTAATATTTAGTATAAAGTTCGCTGTGCACAAGTTCACTCGACGGAAAACAAAACGCCAATGATTCAAAATGGCGAGCGCGCCAACACGTAAGCGCATCTCCCCACCCCTGGTGATGGCGGGAGGTTCACCGGAAGTGAACCAAAAGAGTAGGTCAAATGAGACAAAAGTCGACGGAAACGGAAGTGCCTATCTCATAATAAGCTTCGAATTACGGTCAAGTGGTTTAAATAAATCTTCGCAATCCAATTTCCTTAAAAAATCAGCTTCTATGTTAAAGCAAGTTCGTTTAACCTTTGGTCCGTCATTGTTGTCGTAAATATTTTTTTACTCGTCGTAAACAAAAATACGATTGTTCCGGTCTTCATTTTTTATAGGTAGTGCAGTCACACGTCAGTAGAATAAATTATTTGCAATGCTTTGGCCTTCTTTTTGATTTCTGAGATTAGGGCCACCCCTTAATCTGGCCGCCCTAGGCTCGGGCCTACCGGGCTTAGGGTAAATCCGCCACTGAGCACGATAATGGTTGAAGACTTTTTTTTATTTCTCAAAAAGTAGCTATTTGTAACTATAAGTATACTACCAACTAAAGCGATTTTAATATGTTTGTTTTCTTTTCTTAAAATATTTTTTATTCTGGAACTAGTACCTAAGTACTTATAAAAAATCAAGGTAATCTTTACCTACCTACTGAAGTAAATGGAATTTATGTAAATAAATAAGTTGTCATCTCCTATGGTCATCACAGCGACCGTAAATCGTAGGTTAGTTTACGTCATAACTCATCCGTCCTCCCGACCAGCACAGACTCAACTCGGTTGATCTTTGTATTTTGTGTCGTAGGATGATTTGATAAATCGAGTTTTCACGAAAATCCTAGGAATTATGGGAAAACTCAAATGAAATTGCCTAACAATGACGATGACATTACAAGCGAGCTACAAGCCAGCAACTTTGCTAGCAGCTTGTAACTCGCCCAGTGTCATCTGCTTTTTACCATCTGCTACTCGATGATACGGGGAGAATTTACAAGCTACTAGCGAACTCGCCGGCTTGTAGCTTGTAAACTGGCTCCGTGTCATCGAGGCTTTAATGAATTTTTAAGATAATTTATCAAATCAACCTATGACATATAAGATTTACTATGGGTATACTTTCACGTCAACGCACCGTGCAACGTTACCGGCACCGTCTCACGTTGACGACGTCGTTACGTAGAAATGTGGACAAGCTCATAGTTATCTAATCTGTGCGGAAAGAGAATGGGCGTGGCGAAAAACGGAACTAACATTAAGATTTTTATTTGGCAATCAAACCCTCTTCCCTATCTGTAAAACGTCAAAGTTTTGTTTTGATACGGATTTGCTTGTTGTTGTGATTTCTTGCAGTTTTTTTGTATTTAATCATGTCTAAAAGGGGTAAAACCTTACAAATACGGTAAAAAAGCACTGCAGCGCCCTCCAATCTAAATCCCATTCTCTTTCAGCACAGATTCTATCAGAAGGTAAAATGAAGCTTTGTAATTTTTTTAAGTAAGGAATAAATCCAAATAAAAGATCATATGTATGTGTTCAGGTGTTTATTGTATCACTTTTTGGCGGTGACGGCGGCTTCATCTTCGCGCGCGAACGTCTGCAGCAGCTCTTCCTTCTTGGCGGCGATGCGCTCCTCGCGCCGTTTGCGGGCCTCCTTCACCTTGTTGCGGCGCGCCTCGGCCTGATCACTGTAGTGCAACAAACACTATTATTATCAAGAATCGTCCAGATCAGACCAATTAATTACCTATATAAACGGTTATTAAGATCAGGGACATAGTGGTAACAATAACACAGCAGAACGGAAATGGTTGGGACAGGACTGTTTCCCGGATGGATCAGAAAAGTGATGGAATGGCGACCTTGCTCAAATACGAGGTAGAACTCGCCCGCCATTACTTTACCGCAACTGCGTGAAAGTGGCTAGGGAGAAACAGAAATGGAAAGTTATGGAGGCCTATGACCAAAGTCAGACAACATGGAAAGGCTGCTGGATGAATGGATGGATAAACAGTATACAAAACAATAGGACCAGTGATAAAATGAGATATTGTCTGTTGAAAATATAACTAATTTACAATATATAAGGATATGTCTCAACTAATTAATAATGAAATTTAACGACATTGTTATGAAGTCTGTATTAACTTGATGTGTGAAATGGTTACTAGGACCATGTGATAAAAAGTTAGATGTTAACAACTTCAAAGCAGAATATAATTGGATGAATTGATTTTATTACAAAATAATCTAAGGAGCTAGCGAATAAAACGGTATAATTACGCATATGGTTTTGACCATATACTCCTTTTTGAAGTTATACTTCTTTAGGCGCGTTCTGAAAAATTGTTGAGAGTGAAAATTTAAGATGCGCGCGCATCATGTAACACAAAAAATTAACACCATGAAGTTGGTCGCTTTAGCGACCAACTTCATGTGCCGCGCTGCCATTACCGCGTCGCCCGCCGCACCGTACGCATGGGCTGCCACTCGCGGTCCTAGCGCGGGAAACACGTGCTACAAACATCGGGAAAAGTTACGAGTTTTGAATTTAGAACAGAGACTGTTTTCATATCTATATATATATAAAAATGAAACCCGTTTTCCGTTGTCACGACATAACATGAAAACGGCTTGACCGATTTGGCTGTTTTTTTTTTGTAGTTTTCTAATACTCTGTACAAGGTTCTTACGGAAAAAAATATAAAGAAAATCCCAAGGGGATAAAATAAGGAATGAAAGTTTGTATGAAACTTTATCAATTTTAAACCGATCGGGCTGAGACTTTGCATGCAGGTATAAGAAGAATCATAGATGAATGTCATTGTGTATAATACAAGCCTGAGAACAAAAACTGTAGTCTACACTTCAGCTCTACACCGAAGCGAAGCGAGGGCGGGCCGCTAGTTTATAATATTTATCCACATGTTTCTAGTTTGTATATTCGGAATACGTGTTTGAGTTTCATACAAGTGCAAATCACATATGTTCTAATAAATTATATTCAGTAGCGATTTTAATTGAATATTTTGATTATTTATTTATTTTTTCAAATTAAAACTGAACTTTATTGACTGTGTCCTTTTCCAGACTTTTTATTAATTTATTGTAATTAATTATTTGCATGCAATTAAAAACTAATTTTAAACGATGCCAAAGAAGGATAACTTCTCACGCGCCTATATAAGTACACGCACCCATTTTTTTTTTACAGCATGGAGGTTTTGGGCCAGCTCAATTAGAATTTCAACTCATGTCAATCAAAACCACCTAAATTAGTGTTAAAAAATTAGTAAATTAAAAATCAGTGGGTATGTCATTTAGTTTTTACTGCTCCTGTAAAAAATAATTTTATGTAATTATACCATTTTGTTTGCCAGCTCCTATCTATATTTAATGTCATTTCACCAGCTTACCATTTTTTTTTTTTTGCAATTTTGGGTGTTTAGCAGTTGCAATGACTACTAATTGGATGGGAGTTTGGTTGTTTAGAACGCCAGTATGGTATTCTATTCATAAGAAAAACCTATGCAACCCATAATGCGTAATTTGAGACTGGTGATGATGAATATATCATCATATTAACAAATAAATTTACAAAGAATGTAAGTCTTCTGTAACCTTAAATCAGTGTTTAGCATCACTTTATAAAACATATACTATGTATATGTGCATATCAATTGGGCAACTAAGGCATGGTGATGATAGTTTAACCAAGTATTTGTAAAAAGTGATTGATTGAGTTTTAAAATCTATTTTCAAGATCTCACTGAATTCATTACAATGGTTAGCAAGATTTCAACAATCTAGGCATTCACAACTAACTACAACAAATGAGCTTGCAAATGTATTATTTATCTATATATATAAAACTCAAAGGTGACTGACTGACATAGTGATCTATCAACGCACAGCCCAAACCACTGGACGGATCAGGTTGAAATTTGGCATGCAGGTAGATGTTATGATGTAGGCATCCGCTAAGAAAGGATTTTGATCAATTCTACCCCCAAGGGGATAAAATAGGGAATGAAACTTTGTCAATTTTAAACCAATCGGGTTGAGACTTTGCATGCAGGTATAAGAAGAATCATAGATGAATGTCATTGTGTATAATACAAGCCTGAGAACAAAAACTGTAGTCTACACTTCAGCTCTACACTGAAGCGAAGAGAGGGCGGGCCGCTAGTCTGATTATATGAGTAATGTGAACATTATCTAACCTGAGCATCTTAGTCCTAGCCTTCTCAGCCTTCTTCCTGTGGATGTACTCCATGAGCACACGCTTGTTCTTGAACACATTACCCTTCGCCTTCATGTACAGAGCATGGTACAGATGCCTATCAATCTTCTTGGCTGTTCTGTACTTTAGCAGCAGTTTACGGAGTACCCTTTGTCTTTGTACCCATAGTTCCTGTTAAGAGATACAATAAACAATTATTCTAAAGTTTCATGGCCTATTATAGTTCCACAGCAGTAATACACAAAAATGTTTTAAATTAATTAGTTACTTTCCTAGAGAATGTAAGCAATAAAATATGACAACCTTAACAAAATTATCAAAAAAACGTAGTACAATAGGGATGATGACTAATTTTTACTTCTTCGGTTATTAGGTAGATTATCAAATAGTATTAGACACGTATTTTTTCTTTTTTCACATAATATAAACATTGCAGAGATATATTGATTTGAAAAGTCATTTTTTGGTTGATTGCCCAAAGCAAACTATGTGTCCATTATTTTTTGATCATCTAACTAACGGACTAAATAGAATTTCATTTACTGTACCCCGTCATCACCCCTATTGAAAATGTTTCAAGGAAAATTGCTCAAGTCCAGTAAAATCACTATATCACACTCTATGTTTTATGGAGAGTAACAATATTGAGAGATCGTTTTGGATATTGAGTAGATATCCCGTCTACTCAATATCCAAAATAAACCATGCAAGTTCAAGACAATACCAATAACTTAAAGAGAGGTTATCCACTACTCTCATACCAAATAATATATTTTTTATTTACCTTTTGTGGCATACGCGCATTTGCAGTACCTCTTCTCTTACCGAAGCCACAGTGACGACCCTTTCTGCGGGCCTCTGTGTTCTTACGGACACGGGCACGGGAATGTACCGCTACTGGTTTCTTGATCACCAGACCATCCTTGATCATCTTACGGATGTTCTGTCCTTTAAATTTAAAAAAAATATATACGTTAAAGGATTACATTTTTAGTATATAGCAGGAATAAAGAGATAATATTGTATCAATTGCATAACTTTTGCAACAAAATTTTAGATACGAATGCAAGATGAAAAGTGGGTACTCACTGGAGTTGGTGTTGGCGATTTCATTGATCTCATTAGGATCCAACCACACCTTCTTTTTGCCGCATCGCATAACAGAGGCTGCAAGCCTCTTCTGTAGCTTTAGGGAACTGTAAAACAAGAAACCAAACCGATGACCACATGGCTCCAATCACGGTCTCACCGATAATAGTTTTAATAACATCACTACAAAGTAACTTTTGATAATAATAGAAAGCTAAGGTTAATTAGACAATAACTATTATTTCACCGTAGTCGTGATTTAACTTAAATTCTATATTTTATTTATTTCTCAAAAACTAACCTCATCTTGACACAGTGAGATCCAACGCATACAAGAAAGAAATATGGCCGGCTATCAGTTAAGGATGCGTGCAATATACCGATATTCTATAAGTATAATCGACTTATTATCGATTACTATGTATCATTTATAATCTCAAAATAAATCGCTTAGTTTTATGAAGTATTATTAAATAGAACTATGTATAGGTATTTTTTGAAAGAATTTGGAATCAACCGTATATGGACCCCAAAAAATGTTTACGATATGATTTTGTTTAAATATTATCAATCGTGTTAAAACAATGAGATTGAGAAAATATTAAAAATAATCTAACTCGAGTATTTATCTAATTTTCAAAATTGGTATATTGCTCCAATCAATTTATTCTACCTTAATATATGAATTTCCTATATACTATCTAAACGTTTGTATCTAACGCTTGTATATTCATTCGAGTTTTTGACGTGACAACGTCTTAAATTAGGTTGCGGCTGGGAGTCACTTATGAAAAAGTTTAACGCTCGGTAACGTTACGATGACTTTAAGTTTACATGTACAATGTTTTAGTAAACAAAATATATTTCTATAGTTAAAATTTGTGCAATTCTTATTTTCATTCAATTCCTTGTTCCTATTGTGCAATTTAATTATATTCATATCAATAAATATTCTACCGAGAAAAAGACGTTGTCACGTAAAATCTTCGCCCGTAAAACCGACTTTACAGGCAACCATTTTTTTGTACTAGTAATAATGGGGTAGGACTCACAACAATTGTATCACAAATGTACTTCCACCACGAGAAATATATCTTGCCCACATTAACTTTACGTCTTGCGCCGCCACTGTGGATACGCTTGCTCCGTGCCATACAGGTCTTTGCCGAGTGCTCCAAGCGAAATATTATATAGAAATATTTATCTCTCAATGAGAACTACATATTTATGCCGTTTGGTGTTGAGATTATGGGCCTATGGGGTCCAAGCGCTTGTTGCATTTTTAAGGAATTGTCAAAGAGGCTGACCGAAGTGACTGGTGATCAAAAGGCTGGCAGCTACCTTAGTCAAAGAATCAGCCTTGCCATCCAACGTGGCAATTTTGCCAGCCCATTTGGCACCATTCCTGATGGCGGCGTGATATCGATATAATAGGCTAAATCCTTGTTACATCACATCGCTACTTTAAGTGTGACCATCTAATATATTTTCATATAATATTTATGGCAATCACTGCTTTCGTTCAGGAATTAAGCTTCCTCAACATTCAAGATTTCAAATACCTACCGATAGGTATATTAAATTCAAAATAGATCGAAGACAGTCTTGGCACCAAATATTGAAACATTATCTAAAATAATAATGTCTATTTTACATTAAACTATAATTAGTAAGTAACTCCTCAGGTAAATAAAACAAAACAATAGTTGAACCATGTAATGTCTGTCAGTGTCAATTCCTTGTCGCGGTGACTGATCGCATTCACATGTCATAGTTTTCAAATATTTCCATTCTAAGGATTACGATTAATTTATCCTATTGCTTATTTCTATTCTTAAAATATATGAAGAAGCACACAATTTATAAAGGACCAATTTAATTTTAATAAATGAATTACGTACCTACTATTACACAGAGCAATTCGAAGATTTAAAAACATAATACCTACCTACCTGTTACCTTTTTGGGATTTGATTAGTATTTTTGATTATAAAGAGAAATACCAATAAATGAAGAAAATCCCATTAAGTGAATCATATTGACTAAATAGATTACTATAAAAAATGTAGAAATTTAATCTAAGAAAAAAAAGATATTGGTACCTATTTGTAGTTTGTTTAGTTTTACGAAGCTGAGGGGAGGGGAACAGTGACCGACCGACTGGACGGAGCAGTATTTTGACCACGTCACAAGTCATCGTAGTTTTATTTAGTCGCCAAATAAGCTTTGTAGAGTGAAGAACTCCTGATTCGAAACTATCTCATACAAATAATCATGGCTCCTACAAATACCGTGAATGTGGATTTACAAAGAGAAAGGGATAAGTGCACTTTCAATATTACTGAACTAACGCACCTAATAGATGGCGGCCCACAAAATACAGAAGAAAGGAAAAAAAGAGGTAATAGTTTTAGTCATCATTTTTACGGTTTACAGAGTAATAGTTCTTTATGCAATATCTTGAAATCATTATTTGTCAAACTTATTGGAATATATCAGTGTTGTTGTTTATGTATTATGTTGAATTAGTATTTTCTTTTTTTGTAATTATAAACATGTCAATAATTAGTACCTATCTCTTTAAGTTTAGTAAAGATCCCAATATAAATCAACAACATCGTTTTAAATTATCAATGCATTTTTTTTGTAGAGGATATGGTGTTGAAAGAGGGTATTCATGTTGAGGATGTACCATCTGAATATCTCAGTCATAAAGAGAAATATGAACTGGCAATTAAAAAGGCATGCCTCTTATTCAAAATGATCAGACGACTTCAGGAGGAAGAAAACACAGGAATGGAAAATTACAGGTAACAATATGAATATTGTTTTTTTTTAACATGGATTAACTTGTGAGGTTTCTTATAATAGATATTTTCTTAAAAGGCATTATTGAAAAAGCTATAAATTTATGATTTCAAGTACAGGGGGCCAATCGCCTAACTGGATTGCTTTGGAAAACGCTATCGCTTACGATTTCATTTTGTTATTTCTAGCCCCCTGAGGTTTTCAAATGCCTCGCGCTCTTTTTTTTCTTTTGCATTGGTAATAACAATGTTAAAGAAAATGAGCGTGAGGTATTTCGGCGGTTAGAAATAACAAAATGAAATCGTAAGCGATAGCGTTTCCAAAGCAATCTGGTTAGGCGATTGGCCCACAGATCAGAGAGACATCGTAGGCCTTATCAGCACTAGCTAATATTTGTCTTTATTTTTATTCTTTTTAATAAAATTATTGAGAAGTGATATATGTTGCTATGTTGTGTGTTTATGTTTGCAAACAGACTTGACTGTCACTGTCAATACATGTGACATTGTTTAACCAAGCATTGGCAAAATTTCTATTATTTGTAAAATGGAAACAGCCACAGGCAAAAAGAAACTACTGACTAAACTTATATGTAAATAGGATATGTTATAATTATTATAACTGATTATTTCTGTATTCTTTGTAATGTATCTTGAATTTTAATATTGTGTCATATGTGCGGCTCATGTCAGAAATAAATATTTTTTTATTTTATGTTAATAATAATGTTTACTTTACATATACAGGGCAGTGCTTGGTGGTATGTTAGGCTCGGCCATTCTGCGAGATGGCTCCCCACTAACACTTCACTATGTGATGTTTATACCTACATTGATGGGACAAGGAACAGTCGAGCAACAGGCATACTGGATAGGAAGAGCTTTCAATTTGGACATTATTGGAACCTATGCACAGGTAACATGATTTTGATTTTGTTCAAATTATAGGATGAAACAATTAAGAAAGTTTTCATAAGTTAAACTGGGAGTTGTAGAAAAAAACAAGGTGCTTTAGCTACTAGGAATACAGACAAGACCAAAGGAATTGGTTGTGAATACAAGTCGCTAGGTTTCTTAATTACAAAAATTTTTAGTGCTATGTCAATAAATTTGCATGATTGAACACAAGCCATGCGGTGGATGCAAGAATCTTTTTGCATTGTCTAACTGTGGCTTAATAGTGATAGCACTAGGTATAAAGCATGGCATGGCTTAGTGAATTAGCTGTTTGAAATGACCAACTAGTGATGTACCCACAATCTTAAAGAAAAGTGCAATTAAAGTATTCTTCAGCCATGTAATGTTGGCTACCTGCAGTGAATAGGGATTGACATTTATAGAAAATAGTTAGGTATCCACATTTGCGCTATTTTAGATGCTCTTTAAACTTAGTCATACAGTTATCAAACCTAATTATTACCCATTTATCTAGCATATCACTATAGAAGACAGTGCTGTCTTTGACCTATTGGAGGCCCTGGGCATATTAAGATAATGGGGCCCCTATGACTTCCGTTTGATGATTTAACAGGAACTAGGGACTTTGTATTTGATCTGAGGGGGCCCCCTATCGATCGCGGGGCCCCCTCTGGCCACTTTGGGAGAGTGCCCACTAGGAAAGACTGGTCTGACTATAGGCCAGCCCCCGTAGCATGGCCACTACAATTTACATTTTTACACGTTTTTTATCGCGTGTAACTGTCAAACTCTATAGTAATTTGACAATTGAGAGTGATAAAAACGCGTTATATATCATATCGCGATGCTCATGCGTGGGGGGCTGCACTGCTTTTTCCTTTGTTGAGTCCGTGACAGACAAGTCCCCGGCGAACATTTTTTTCACGATTCAGCGGCTTTTTTCCTCTGTGGTCATGGTTCAATTACATTTGCTCGTTAGCCCGAATTCGGGTGCACGAAAGCCATTACAGGCAGTCCTCGTACTAACGGCATGTTAGGTTCTCGAAATACGCAACGTAAATCGAAACGATGTAAGTCGAGACATCCCCTCGGACGCCGACCCCACGGACATTGTTTGAGGAATACATTTTTTCGTTGTCAAAAAACATTGTTCGACGTAACTTGAAACGAAATACGCAACGTAAATCGAAACTCGACGTCAAACGTCGAGGACTGCCTGTACTCGAAATCGGACACCCGATGCAATATTTACACTGTAAACGAGCTGGAAGACAGTAACTGCCTAATGGAGAAGTATACGCAAAGCTCGACATAGATAGCGCTGCAAACGCTTGACCCAAACCACGTCCGAATATTGCAGCTGTCAAATTTTGAACGTGTTTTTTTATTGTTAAATATATTAAATAAGTGGTGAAAATGTATTCAACATGGTCTGTAATATAGCTCAAAACAGAGTTGAAAAGGAGAGGAGCATTTATGCAAGGCAGAAAAGCTGATCTAGTAGAACTCTTCCTATTTTTATCCTAGAATGCTCATTCTCGGTCATCTATGGAGGTACCAAAAAATGAGAATTTTCCATGATTATTTTAATAGTTCATGGATCTCAGTAACTTTTAGCGGGCTCATTAGTCAAATATATCTTATTTTTGCATCAGTCAGACATCTCATAGAGTTAGGTTACCTCGGGCTAAAATGGGTGTATAACATTGGGTTTTTTTACAGTCTTGAGGCATAAGACCGCAATTTTAATTTTGGTGCAGTTTTTTCTGATCAAACTGAAGACGTCCAGATGCAATTACCTGCCCCAGATACATACCATGATGTAAACAGCAGCTCAGTTTTACCCCCCCTTTCAAAGAAACATATAAAATTATATTTTAGTTGGTAAGCATGCAGTTTTCTCACATCAACCAAGAACTGCACAGAGCGGCATTTGTAATTTGTTTAATAAAAAGCTTATAATGAATTTAAGCTAATAGGTATGTATTTGATAGAAGTTTTGGGTCAAGCGATTACAGCGCCCCTAGTGACCAAATTTTGCAGATATCTTGTCCATTACGGGCATACTCGCCTCCGTTTATTTACACTAAGTCGTTTTCGCGTATTCCATTGGCAATCGTATTCCGGCAAACAATCAAGTGTAATCGCGCCATTAGCAGCATTCTGTTTTATGAGCATACAAGCACAGTAATACAAGCATCAAGCACAATGAATACATTCATTTCAGTATATTTTATTTAATGCGACTTTTCTTTAGTATTAGTTTGTGATGTCTGTTGTTTTAGACTGAACTCGGCCATGGTACGTTCATTCGTGGTCTGGAAACCACAGCGACGTACGATCCCGCCACCAAAGAGTTTGTGCTGCACAGCCCGACCCTCACAGCTTACAAGTGGTGGCCTGGCGGTTGTGAGTACAAATACATCTACTTCTTTCTACCTTAGAAACTACGACCCGCGGGCCATTTCTTTTTTTCTTTTTTGTTATTTAGTGTTACTTGAAAGCAAAGCATGCCAGGCCCATACATCCTTTCAAGTAATAAAAAATATTTACGTCTTTCTTTTGTGACACTAAACAGGTCCTACCAGTATAACAACGCTATTGCGTCACAATGTCGCATCAGCTAATGCTGAGGCAGGGTCCTGGTAAGCCCTGAGATTTTTGAATATGTATGTGTAAATGAGGGTTGGAAAAATATATTTTATTCTTTTCTATCTCCGGCCCTCGAATGGTTAAAATCCGGCCTGCGAACATCAATCGAAAATCAAGGGTCCTCGGCAAGAAGGACCATTTATTTACAAGGACCACCCCGTTGCCGAACCTGGTACCTACCTATTTACATAGGAGCAAACTCGGGGGCGTATTATTTACCCTGGTGCTGAGCTGCAGGTTAAGGGGAATTTGTCACTGAGCCCTATTTTGAAGTAATTTACAAATTCTAGAAACTAGAAAATTTGGCCATAGATTCTGATATGTAGTAATAGCCTTCGCCTTAAATTTGTAGATGCTCTAAGGCCCGTATTATAGAAAGATTCTCAGTGATTGATCTAGTCTTGAGCATAGTTAGAAAGGGATGTCGCTAAATACAGCACATAACGATATCCCTTTCTAACTGTACTCATGTAAAGATCAACACTTAGCTGTCATTCTGTAATATGGGCCTTAGACACATACATTGATCATAAAGTTGCTCTGTGACGTCATAGTTAGCGCGTTCGGTCTACAATCGTGGTAGTTGTGCAACTTTTGAAATCGCCAGTCATAGGATGGGTGACCAGAAATGAATTATCTTGATCTAAAGAAAATTTTACTAGAAAAAATTCCACGCGGACCAGGCAGCAGACAGGACTCGAACCCGCACCCTTCACTATCCGGGCGAATGCGCTGGCCATCATGCTACCGCAGCCCTAGCATGTAGGTCAGGTCTTTAGGGAGCGCATGTTTCCCGGCAGTGGGCATGTAAATCGACGACAATCTTACAACTTATTACAATAGATATCAGTTTTACGACGTAGCCGAGTGGTTTGTACACCGGTGTTCAAGGTGTCGCCTACTCGAGAGGTCCTGTGTTCGAATCCCGGTGGGGTAGATGTTTGTGTGATGAATGCGAGCATTTGTACTCTTATATACTTATATATGTATTCTATCCGTTACCCTAGTATCCCATACCACAAGCCTACAGTACTTACTTTGGGGCTAGGCTAATCGGTGTAAGTGTTAGAAATATTTATTTATTATTGTTACTATCACAGACAGGTTTACCTTACACAATAATAAAATGTATTAATTAAATGATATGAAGAAGATAAGTCAAAAAATAACTTACACAGTTGTCAATTAAAATTCTATTAATTGCTTGTCAGTCACATTCCGAAGGAACCTAATGATGCTATGCGAAAATATACCTTTTTCTCTCTTCACCGTGAGGAGATTCTGCAATCTGTATTTATTGTAAGCTCACAGTTCAGTGTAACTAGCAGTATAAGGCCACAATAAATAAATTTGTATTTCCAACACTCACACCAATTAGCCTAGCCTCAAAGTAAGCACTAAGGCTTGTGTTATGTGATACTAGGGTAACGGATAGAATACATATATGAGTATATTTATATAGAAGTACATATTAAACATCCTGCCTGGAATACAAATGCTTGTATTCATCAACCTGGGACCTCTCGAGTAAGCGACACCTTGAAACCCGGTGTACATACCACTCGGCCACGGAGGACATCAATGAAATGAAAAAATAGTTCTTATGATATTTTTAACGTCACTTTTTATTCAAAGTCAATAATTACAATTCACGATGGCCATGAGAGTGTTGTTTACACCAATGTTTACTTATAACCATTATCTCACGCCAGCAATGGATAATGACACCTATTTTTAGTGTGTTTAAGCTCAATGAGGCAAAAAAAGATCTCTCGAATGGGTTTTTGTTTTATGGCAGTCATTTATACAAGCAGCAGGGCAGAACTGAGGGTCTTAAATGACGGCATTTGTATCATCATCATCACCAGTCTATTAATGTCCCCACTGCTGGGGTACCGGCCTTCCCTATGGATGCTATAGGGAGAGTGGGCCATGACCCACAACGCGGGCCCAGTGCGGATTGGCGGGTGCTAACGACTGCAGATGCTGGGACCAACGGCTTAGCGTGCCTACGAAGCACGGAGGAACTCGAGATATAAGATTTTTGGACTCCAATCCAATGACCGACCACCTCGAAAGTTGCTTAACTTTAACGAACGCAGCCGAACGCGCTAAGCACCCGCGCATTTGTATGAAACACTTAAAATATTTTTGTTTGTTCTGGTATATAAGTTCTATATGAGTTATCAGCCTCTAAAACATGAAAATTTAAATGCATTCAGATTGCAAAGGAATTCATAGTTGTATTGCAATTTGCAACAATGTAAAATGCAAATCTTTTGGGTAAGCGCAACCGAGTGTTATGTAATTCAAGTGTTGTAACGATACATAATTATATACCTACAGACCTTGACAAGTATTATATGCTACGAATGTGCACCGGCGGGCGATGACCGTAGAAGCTCCTCTCCATGACTTAACTGCCTAGCTTCCTAACTACTCTTAACAGATTATGCGCATGTACACAGATGAATTGCAATATTTCCTTTTTAACCATGCTTGTTGGTTCATAAAGATAAACCCTCAGATTACATAACATAAGGCAAAGGATGGAACGCACGGAAGACGCAAAGCGTGACGCCACAACGGATATGAAATCAAAAGCGTATATCAATTCGCGTCAGTGCGATTCAAAGCACGTGTTACCGTGACTGCGTTTTGACAGTACGTTACGTAAATTCTTGAGTCTTCAAACATTGTAGAAACACTTCTCAAAAACAAAAAAAGGAAGATGGAATATTATTTCCTAAGTATGTACACTTAAACCGTAAAAACATGAATTCATAGTAGGTAGTGGAAAAAATGGGTGCGTGTACTTATGTAGGCGCGTGAGAAGTTATCCTTCTTTGGCATCGTTTAAAATTAGTTTTTAATTGCATGCAAATAATTAATTACAATAAATTAATAAAAGTCTGGAAAAGGACACAGTCAATAAAGTTCAGTTTTAATTTGAAAAAATAAATAAATAATCAAAATATTCAATTAAAATCGCTACTGAATTAAATTTATTAGAACATATGTGATTTGCACTTGTATGAAACTCAAACACGTATTCCGAATATACAAACTAGAAACATGTGGATAAATATTATAAATATGAATACCTATAACTGTTACTTTATTACAAAAAATAAAGATGTGGTTTTTGGTTCTACTACACCAATGGTCAAGAGATGGCGCTGTAGTCTCCTGAATCGCGCTTTGGTTCCGTTGTTCCAGATTAATAAATACTTTTGATAGGCCTTCACAATGCAGTCGTTAGCACCCACTAAATAGAGATTCTATTTCTATTTTGTTGGTAGATTTTCTTAATATGCGGTAAACACAAAAGTAACGCATGAAGTGGGTCGCTAAAGCGACCAACTTCATGCTGTTAAAATTTTGTGTTACAGTGATGCGCGCGCATCTTAAAATTTCACTCTCATCATTTTTTCATAACGCGCCTAAAGAAGTATAACTTCAATAAAAAACAAAACGATATTTGTCAAAATAAAAACCCCAATTGATATAAAACAAGCGAGTCTTACAGTAGTCGCGTATGATGTGTAACATTTGAAACCTCACCTTATTATTAGTAAAAAAAGAAATAAAACCATTATATAATGATAAGCCATTTGAACATTATGTTCTAAAATCAAATCAAATAGCGCGCGCTTTCTCGACTTCCTGTTACACACTTCCGTCCCATTTCACGAAATCACTTCCACAAATTGCAGGAAAGCGAGAGGAAAGATGTTGCACATTACACGCACACTATAACAATTTAAGAGTACGTATTCATACAGCGTTGTCACGCACACAAAGCTAGTTGCGAGCTTCACTTTGCTTGTACCATGCGCTCCATCTGCCATTTGTTCTGTAATCTGAGGTTTAACTCATGTTGGATTTAAAAATATTTAAAACTTGCGTGGTTAAATTACTCTGTGATCATGGGGCACTTGCAATAGTTTTCTTTTTGATATCTTTGACGTTCGATCCCATTAAAGAGCTCAGGTATGGTGGGAATTCTTCACAAGGTGCAAGGTTGCCCTCCTTATGTTGTTCTGCCGCACTTGATTAAATCCCAAAATCCCAGCTTGGGCTCACCTTCTACAGTGTCGAAATAGTGGGGAATCGTAAAATCCTGGTACAGGGTATTAATCCTGCTAATAATTATAATAGATAGATGGAGGAGTTCTATGGCGTAGGTGGTTAGTGCATTTGGCCTGCGATCGTGAAAATTATGCAACTTTCGCAATGGTCAGTTATTGGATGGGTGACAAAAAAAAATATTATCTCGAGCTTCTCCGTGCTTCAAAAGGCACGTTGCGCCGTTGGTTCCAGTTGCATCGTAGTCGTTAGCACCTGCTACATCGCACTGGGCTCGCTTGGCTAGTCCCTCTCACCACAGAATACAAGAAGAAGTAAGAAGGGTGATCATAAACCGTCTGTACAGAAACCAATGTCGTCGGTTCACTCCCACTACACTTCCACCTCAAAGATAATAGCCAATCAAAAATTCGAACCAATCAGCGCTCACATCCGGGAGCAACGACGCAATCAGAACCAGTTATGAGCATTAGCTCACACATAACTGTTGCACGTCTGCCCCGCCCACAAAGCACTTCTAACCTCTTTCTGTGTTTTGTGACTCACGGCCTAATCTCGCTATTCCATTCATAAGGAAGGTCTGTGCCCTAGTAGTGGGGGCATTAATAGGCTTATGATGATAACTATAAGATTAAAAATATCTCGTCAACAGTGGCCCACACCGCCAACTACTGCATCGTGATGGCTCAGCTGTACACCAAAGGGCAATGCCACGGCATCCACCCCTTCGTGGTACAATTGAGGGATGAGAATACCCACATGCCCCTGCCGGGCGTGAAAGTGGGCGAGATCGGTGTGAAGCTAGGCATGAACGGCACTAACAACGGGTTCCTTGGCTTCGACCACGTGAGGATACCGCGGGATCATATGCTCATGAAGAACTCCAAAGTGCTCGAGGTGAGTGCGAAATATAATCTTGATTTTAATGATTTTTATTATGTTTTTGAGCAGTTAACTACTACTAAGAAGTTGTGGTTTCGAATTCCGTCTGATGCCTGGACCATGTTTTTATTGAGATTTATAAAATGTACTTATTATTTTACTGATAACAATATATTGTTATGTGCTCTAAGGCACAAATGACTTTACTATAAAAAAAAAAGAGAGTGTATGCAGTTTTAAAACAGCCCTTGCTGAGTTTCTTGCCGGTTCTTCTCAGTACAAGGTCTCCCGCCGTAGATTTACGAACCGATGGCGTAGCTTCTAGGCTTCTAGTACGCGCGCGGTTGCGAAACTGGGATGTATTTCAATTTCTCGCTATTTATGTATTAATGCTTGTATTAAGAAGTAGCATTAAAATTTCGCCTTTGACGTAGTTTACGGTAAAAAATATTTAGTTAAAATTTTATAACTTATTGATATTAAGACCTATATTCACGTACAACGGTACAACGACAAGGCAAGAAGGAAGGAAAATATAAATAAAACCTTTTTTTTTTGTACCAGTCTAACGTCGGAATATTTCATCGATAAAATGGTTCTGTCCTTCTCTTTCTCTCTCTCTCTCTTCGTAGTTATTGTTTTATAAATTGCTATTACTTAATTTTATGGGGAGCATAGACTTTCTCCCTATTCCATTCATAGGGAAGGCCAGTGCCCCAGCAGTGGGGACATTAATAGGCTGATGATGATGATGATGATGATAGACTTTTAATTGATTCCATTCAAAGATCATTGTTTGTTGAAGAAAAACGTCTTTGATATCGCTTTAATATTATTCAATATACTAAACGTACGATTTGCAGCATATTATTTTACATTAAAAGTAACTTACTAAAGTCATCTTTATATCAGAGTAAATATCTCAAAAGAAACATATCTGACTAATTCTGACGCATCGTCTGAACTTTGAACTACAACCTTGGCATATATATTTATATGTATTGAACTTTGTATATTTTTGGAATAGCATAATGGCCGAACCGGTTTCGTCTATTTATACCAAATTCGCCCATTCTTAACTTTAGAAATTATTCTATTCTATTTTATATTCCAACAATCACGGCTTATCGTCCCGTATTTATTATAATAATAAAAAAATTAATCGATTATCTCTTTATTGATATCATTTCGTCAATTAACATCATCATGTTGGTAGTAGTTTCAAGTCATATTATCTACGTGCTTGCTACCATGTACACTCGCGGAAAGACCCGCTCTGTCACCCATAATGCCATAATCGCTTGCGGTAGCGGCGTAGTAAAAATCCATTCTTTTTCGTATAGCGCTGTCGCGATCACGATGCGGATGACAAATTGCAACTAAAACAAATGCAATTCAATTCATTATTCAATCAATGAAATGCTCTCTGTCTAACTTTTGTGCGGCGGCCCGGATTGGCGCGTCCGACGCGAAGGCGGGGCGTAGTAAACTACTGTAGAAAACGGTTCAAAGCATTTTGTTCGCCAAGTGACAGAGCGAAAAATTCAGCGATAGTACAGAGTACCTTGATTTTTGCGAGTCCCTTAAAGGACAATGTTAAAATTGGCCTATGAACCAACACCAATTTGGCATTTACGATAATTCTTAGTATATTTTTTGCGATAATTATCAGTATTTAGATTGTGACGGACACTTCCAGTTAAGAAAGCTAAATTAAAAAATAAAAAAATAATTTGAGACAATAAATACCATTTTATGTGTATAATCTATGGCAGCGCTGCAAACAAAACACTCTTTCTTCCTAATGCCGGCACTTCGACGACGACAAACTGTTGTCAAGTGAAGGGCAGGCATGAAACTCGTTACTCTGTGGTTGTGGTGCATGCAGCTTGCATTCGTAGTAATCTGGCATTCGTGCATTCCAAAGAGAAGTATTATTATACCGGAAAGTGCATTCTCGTTTCGGAGTACCTGTTTTGTGTGTTTATTTGCGATTGTTTTTCCTTTAATTTAACTATTTCGGCTATCTAATATGCCATCGATGTTACCAAAGGGGAGAGCCCTTATTACCAAGTCCTAGTGAACCTGTGCCACAACATCCTGAGAGGATCATACTGCCAAATTATTCAAGAACACCTGATACACGCTGCATATTTACACAATAAACCTACATGTGATATACAAATAAATGCAATAAACAATATAATACAATTATGTGAAAAATAGTCAATAAATAAGGAGCAAAGCTACAGTTTTTATTTAATACATGATTTCTACTTAACCAAGTTTTTCCTAATAGTTATTCTTTAAAATCGCACCGAATAAAATGAATTAGTTTTAATATTAATTCACTTCATACTGAGTTTATACTAAATTCATAGGTTGACCTATGTTTCACTGAATATTAAACATAACCTCAAAAAAAAATTAGTTTTCCTGATAATTTAAGTTCTCAGAAGTGTCCGTCAATAACCTTTGTTTTTACAGTCATTTAGTTACGATTTTGAACCTAGAAAATAATATTTCATGATTGTTGGTTCTTAGGCTAACTATGTATGGACGCTGAACAATGTCCTTTCCCTTAAATATTAAAAATTACTTTAATGTTAGTGACCATGAAAGTTTAAACAATATACTAGCTACGTTCGTTTAGATTTGTTGAAAACGGAGCCGGAACAGGATGAACAGTGTACCCGCCACTGTCATCTTATATTGCCCATGCTGGAAGTTCTGTAGATTTAGCAATTTTTCCTATACATTTAGCTGGAATTTCTTCAATTTTAGGTGCTATTAATATCATTACCACAATTATTAATATACGAGTTAATGGATTATCATTTGATCAAATGCCTTTATTTGTTTGATCTGTAGGTATTACAGCTTAATTATTATTACTCTCTCTAATCGTCTTATCGATATTTTTAGTTGACTCATTCGTTTATTTACATCTAGAGTAAATCTGAAGCGTTCGGTAATTCCGCTACTAACAGATCAGGCCGATGTAAATCTGTTTGCTCGGAGTATTTTGACCGACGAGAAAGATTAATCTGGTTATCTGTCAAGTTTTGGGGTTATTTTCTGTTTGAGGTTAGAAATTAATCTACGATTGGCCCGGCATTTCGTTAATAGCAATTTGCTCAGATTAATCTGTGATTACGTTGCCAAAAATCCGTCGCCTCTGCGATCGAATACCGAACGCAGCTACTTATAGCATGAAATGAAAAGTCTTTTATTCAGTCTAGACTGTTACAAGCACTTGTGACGGTCAAGAAGCTACGCCATCGGTTCGCAAAACTACGGCGGGAGACCTTGTACTAAGAAGAACCGGCAAGAAACTCAGCAATGGCTGCTTTTTTCTCCCTGTATTGATATATACAGAGTCGTCAAGTTGAAAAATGACTTCAGAGACACTTCTGAAGTCACCTTCCATTATTGTTTAGGTTATAGATATATAGTAACAATAAATTTTATATTTAGTATATAATAAGCGGCATTAGCTAGGTACCATATTACTGTTACAAAAACTGACTCATACCCATCAAATAACAAATTACAAGAAACACTATGTCCGTGCATTACAATCATTTAGATAATCATTAACTTTATAATAGCCCTTATTCATAAGAGTAATCTTAATCTGAGATTTATATTTGGTCAGTGGAAGCTCAATCAGATCTTGGGGAACTTTGTTAAACAATGCAATACTACATCCCAGAAATGAACCTCTTGATTTTTGGAGTCTGAAACATGAAGTTTCTCAATGCCACATTCCGCTCAAGCTTAAGTCGTTAATTTTAACGCACAAACAGATTATCGTGTTTTAATACCCCTTCTTATATAACAGTGGCATAAAGCACTGTTACCTACGTATGCGTAGGCCCTGTCAATCCTGTTTGCACACTGCTGACTAAAGATTAGCAAGCATAGAAATTCGAATCAAAGTTTTGGGGGCGTCCATAAATGACGTGAGATGTTTATGGGGGGGAGGGGTCGAGTCAAATATCATCTAATCTTACGTTGGAGAGACCCCCCTGGTCTCGGAAAATATCACGCAATTTGTTTTCTGATTGAAACAAAAAAATATATACTATTTTGGTCCATTTAACCCAGATTGTACATGCTTCAGATTTAATCTTAAGCCTAATCGTAATACGATTAAGAGCATTCACTAATACGTTCCAAAGAAATAACTCTCAGCAATATTGATTACTAGTCTTAACTAGTCGTAAATAAAAGCACGAAGCAATTTTTTTTCTTTTTACAATAAAAATCTAACGCGTTTACGTAAGAAACCCACATTTTGAAAAATCTCACGTGAGATTGGGGTTGGGGGAGGGGGTTGAATAAAATCTCACGACATCTCACCAGGGGGGAGGGAGGACTGAACATTCAAAAAAAACACCTCACGTAATTTATGGACGCCCCCTTTTCTCTAGTTCAAATTGTATCAATAAAAATCTAGCTTAAGTAAGTTATTATTATGATTGAGTAAATTAATCTATCAAGTTTTGAACTGTACTAGATTTCGTTGTTTCCAATACATTTATCTTCATTATATCGATAGAAGAAATGATTTATCTATTTAGGACGAAAACAACATGTAGATAGTGATACAACTGACGTATTTCATTCGCGTAATTATAAACAAGCTTCATTATAAATTCAGAACTGTCTAAAGTTTTAACAATGTAAAAGTGGAATAAATTCGTTTCGTAGTTCACGTCATAGCTCATAATAGGGTATTTGACAGTATTAAAAATAAAGTGCCAATTGTTAGCATCTGTGCTTAGAATGAATATATATTATAATAATTGGCAGGGGTTTTTACTTATTTACGAAAAAAATATTCATAATTTTATTAAAAACCCACGAAAGATAATAGTTTTCTTATATATATATATTGTCACGTGACCCAAAACGCTTAACATAATAACAGTCGTGTGACGTCACACACTAGTAAGACGCCATATTGTCCAGAGAAACGTTTTCGCGGCAACTTGAAAATGGAGTTTTTGATTTGGTTATTTTTACTGAAATACACAACAGAATGATGAATATCCACTTTTTACGGTTTCCATAAACATTAGTCAATAACGTGAGATCGTTTTCTAAAACTTGTCAAATACCCTATTGGTGGCAAAGGATCGGAAATATTATGCCTGTACAACTAAACATTTTGATTAGTATGAATATCACTTAATACACCTTCATAAATATAAATAAATAGATTAAGTGGTGTAGGATTTCATTAATTAATTGGACATTAAATTATTATCAAATCTTTTTTTGGATTAATACTGTTATGGATTGTGATTGCAATCATTATTTAGATAACTGATTATTGGATCCTGTTATTTACGACAATTAGATAAACCTTTTATCTGGACGTTCGTTTAAAGTTAATCGAATAATTATGTGAATAGGGTCACGTTGTCAAGCGCGGCCATTCGGAGACGTGTTCCGCGACCACACCTGCCCTCTCGGCATGCACTAGGGGGACCGCGGTGCTCATAGTGCGTGTCGGGTGACGGTGCAGGAGTATTGTCTGGTTTTTAGTGGCCCTGTTCAGGGCGTTCCTCCAGGGCTGGCGGAAGAGGACAGGGAGGAGTCCCACATACCTTCTTCTCGCTCCCCCAGTGGTTGAAGGATGCGTAAGGCATTTCCCAGACACCAAAAAAAAGGGTCACGTTGTCAAACGTATATTTTTATAAAAGCCATCATTCCCATCGACTACCGGTAGATACCGAAGTGTCTCTTCCGACAGAAACACCCCCGAAGTTTTCTGTGATAATTATTATTATCTTAAAAAAAAAGTATGCTTTTTTATTCTGAAAAATCCCCAATACATATTCGGGATGTCGTTTAATATAATAAATACTAGCAAACCAGTGAACCAAATGTTCACCAAAACCTGATTTTTGAAAACCGGAAGTGCTACGTTACTCAAATCCGGTTTGTAGTCTTGTCTGACTATTCTTAACTTATAACTTAAATATTCTCTTTATCTATCTCTTACGGTTTGGCCGCTGAAACAGCACCACGGACAGACGGACTTGTCTAATAGATAAGACTAGCAAACCTGTGAACCAAATGTTCACCAAAAAAAAAAAGTATTTAATTAATTGAGAACTTCGGAGATTTTGTGTGGTTTCGTTTGAAATAGAAATCACGTGATTTCTCGAAAACCGGAAGTGCCACGTTACTCACATCCGGTTTGTAGTCTTATCAGACTATTCTTAACTTATAACTTAAACATTCTCTATATCTATCTCTTACGGTTTGGCCGCTGAAACAGCACCACGGACGGACGGACGGACGGACGGACTTGTCTAATAGATAAGAGATATCAGTTAAATTTTATTGTTATATTATTGATTTCTCTCAAGAAGCGTTACAAAGATTTATATGATAATGTACAAAAGTATGATTATAGCAAATAATTCAACCTTCCCCAAAACTGGTGACTGCACTAGGCTGTTAAACCCATCTTACAGATCACCAGGCTTCCACTCCGCCGGTCATCATTCTCATAATACACTTTAGTATACAAGCCGCTCATAATTTTCATTTCACGAGAGATTGTTTGTGTACGCAGGTGTATCGAGTGTGTGTATGTTTGTGCGTGGTAGTGTCTGTGCGGGTGTTTGTAAATCATCATCGGCCTATTAATGTCCCCACTGCTGGGGCACAGGCCTTCCCTATGGATGGAATAGGGAGATTGGGCCATGACTCACCACGCGGGCACAGTGCGGATTGATGGGTGCTAACGACTGCAGATGCTGGGACCAACGGCTTAACGTGCCTTCCGAAGCACGGAGGGGCTCGAGATAGTAAATGTTTAGTCACCCATCCAATGACCGACCACTGCGAAAGTTGCTTAACTTCAACGATCGCAACCGAACGCGCTAACCACTTGCGCCATCGAGCTCCTCAATTTATTATTAATTGCATTTTATGTTCATTTAATTCATATTATTTAAGTGCTTACAAAGAGGTAAAGATTAAGTCTATTGACGACCTCTGTGGCCGAGTAGTTTATACACTGGGTTTCATGGTGTCGCTGACTCGGGAGGTCCTGGGGAGGATATATGTACAATATGTATACATATATATTCTATCCGTTATCCTAGTATCCCATAACACAGGCCTTAGAGCTGCGAGCTCCTCTCGGTGTTTGTACGTGTGCGTAATAAGTAAATTATATTTGTCTGTAGGACGGCACGTATGTGAACGCGCCCAGCTCGAAGCTGACGTACGGTACGATGATGTTCGTGCGCGTCATGCTCGTGCACGACATGTGCAACTACATGGCGAAGGCGGTCACCGTCGCCACGCGCTACTCCGCCGTGCGCCACCAGTCGCAGCCCAAACCCAAGTCAGTAGTAATTTATTTATTACTAGCGGCCCGCCCTCGCTTCGCTTCGGTGTAGAGCTGAAGTGTAGTCTACAGTTTTTGTTCTCAGGCTTTTATTGTACAATGACATTCATCTATGATTCTTCTTATACCTACATGCAAAGTCTCAGGCCGATCGGTTTAAAATTGACAAATTTTCATTCAAACTTTTATTCCCTATTTTATGCCCTTGGGGGTAGAATTGTTCAAAATCCTTTCTTAATGGATGCCTACGTCATAACATTTACCTGCATGCCAAATTTCAGCCCGATCCGTCCAGTGCTGAGCGTGCGTTGATAGATCACTATGTCAGTCAGACACCTTTGAGTTTTATATATATATAGATTTTAAGGCCCGTATTAATAGATCGCTCCCAACTCCGAGTACGATCTTGAGATGTTGTTTTGTTTGAAAACAATATCTCTAGATGCGATCTAGAGAATCGCCATTTTGTTATCAAGGAAAGACAATACAGCTCAGCCGTACGGACTCTGGAAGCGGACTCGCCGTTTCGCTCGCGCTGCGTTGAAGCGAACAGTTCTGCCTCGCTTGCTCGGTTGAATGTTTGTATACAGACAGTTGTGGCAGTTGCTTATGTAGTTGAGTCTGATCATATTTAATTTGATGCTACCATGAGCGTACTGGGTCTTCGCTTATTGTTTTAATCTAAGGTCATGTGTAAATTTTTCTTATCGAGTTCTGGGAACACTGTTATTTAGTAGCATTGTTCGAGACGAGGCCTCAAAACCCAACCGTATAATTGTCCGTAGTGAGCCAGAGCCGCAGATCTTAGACTACGTCACTCAGCAGCACAAACTGCTCGTAGGCATTAGTTCTGTGCACGCGTTCCGTTTGAGCGCGCAGTGGCTGTGGAATATGTACAATAACGTCACCGCCGAGCTGGAGGCCGGCGATATGGAGAGGCTGCCTGAGGTTAGTTATTTATTTATTTTTTAAAGGTCTGCCAACATTTTTACACCTTAACTTACACAATCTATAAGTTGTTTATAATAATTCTCAGCATAGTGCAAAAACAATTACTGGCAAATTCAACATGGATATATTACAGTACAGTATAGTACAGCAATTACACTTGCACTCTTAACTAAGATTATTTAATAGTTGCTATAACTATATCTTCAAAACATTTGCTCAAAAAATGCATTTACGGAGGTTGTCTATATTCTTTGAAAGTTAAAAATATTTTTTAACAGGCAAATTGCTTGTAATCCAGGGCTTGTAAGCTATGATGAACAGGACACAGGCTGTTGTATCTCATGAACCATGATAGCTAGACCGTTGAAATTTTCACATGATGTATTTCTGTTGCCGCTATAACAACAAATACTAAAAATAATAAAAAAAATCAGATATAATGGACGGCTCACATACCTCTCTATCGTTTTATGTGTCTGATCCTGGTGTTACTTCACACTTTGGGACTTTTTTCACCGGGTCGTTGCGGGCTCGTTTCTGTACCCAATCTGTACAGATTGTTTAAAGTAGCCCGCACCGACCCGGTGAGAACAGCGCTTTCGTTAGGGAATGCATAGTCCGCTCTCTGCAACGAATTAGAAATGATATGGAAGCATTACCCTCTAACAAGGGCCTCTAAAACGTGGCTCCAAACTCATACAACTAAACTTCAACACTAACGCGACACGCACACAGACAAAACAAATCTCTTTGACAAATCAAATATCTGCAAATGGATTCGACTTTCCATTTATTGATTAAGATAATGTTAAACGGAAATCCCAACCAATCCCATGACCGGCGTGTTGATCGCATGTTTATGCCCCGCCCACTTAATTGCACTTTGCGTGGAACCACTTTTTAGCGCAGTTCGTATCTCATATTATTTCTAATTCGTAGGCTCTCTCGTGTCTATGATGCGCTCGTTGCTAACTTCACAACTGTCCTACAGTTGCGCAATCCATTATGTTACGTTTAATTGTTTGGTTGGCAGTTACACGCGCTCTCGTGTTGTCTGAAAGCCGTGACGACAGCTGACGCGGCAGAATGCGTTGAAAGATGCCGTTTGGCGTGCGGGGGACACGGATATATGCTGTCCTCTTCCCTCCCCACAATGTATGGTCTTGTGTCCGCCGCCTGCACCTACGAGGGGGAGAACACCGTCATGCTGCTACAGACCGCCAGGTGAGACAGCTATACAGCAACACATACTGTCCTCTTCCCTCCCCCTTATGTGCTTTACCAATTTTTTTGTTTAAGTTTTTTAATGTACTCGGCTTTTAAGCAATAAAAGCTGTGTCTATCAAATATACATTAAATAAAACTAGTTTTTACGGGTTAATGCACGAAACTTTATTTATTTATGGACGTTTCGTAGCCTTTACAGGCTACGTCGTCAGAATTAAACTTTTATTTAATTTGTCGAGCTACCTTCGAAAGACTTTTATTGAGCGTTCGGTTATTTCATTGTTCGATTTTTAAAGTTTTATTGTCTATGTATGAATTTATTATTAAATTTACTTAATAAAGTATTTTATTTAAATTCTTTTTTGTAATTTTGAGTTTATTTATTTGACTAAGCTATCTATATATATACGATCTAACCTAACTACCATAAACTTTAATGAGTGATGTGCGTGAAAACCTAAGAAACAAATAAATATACATTACTTAAAGAATTGGTTATTAAATTCAGAAATTAGATAATTTAAGAGAACTTGACGTCTATCTTGTTTATATTTTTCCGACGTCTTATAGCTTAATATTATGGCTGTCTGCAGATACCTGGTGAAGGCGTGGCAACAAGCGCGGGCAGGAAGCAGTGTTCCGCCCACCGTACAATATCTAGCTCGCGCCGCTGCCAGGAGGCATCCGCCCTGGGAGAATACTGTGGAGGGACTCATTCTGGGCTTCCAGCAGGTGGCCGCCAGGTAACTATATCTAGCTGCCAGGAGGTATCCGCCCTGGGAGAATACTGTGGAGGGACTCATTCTGGGCTTCCAGCAGGTGGCCGCCAGGTAACTATATCTAGCTGCCAGGAGGTATCCGCCCTGGGAGAATACTGTGGAGGGACTCATTCTGGGCTTCCAGCAGGTGGCCGCCAGGTAACTATATCTAGCTGCCAGGAGGTATCCGCCCTGGGAGAATACTGTGGAGGGACTCATTCTGGGCTTCCAGCAGGTGGCCGCCAGGTAACTATATCTAGCTGCCAGGAGGTATCCGCCCTGGGAGAATACTGTGGAGGGACTCATTCTGGGCTTCCAGCAGGTGGCCGCCAGGTAACTATATCTAGCTGCCAGGAGGTATCCGCCCTGGGAGAATACTGTGGAGGGACTCATTCTGGGCTTCCAGCAGGTGGCCGCCAGGTAACTATATCTAGCTGCCAGGAGGTATCCGCCCTGGGAGAATACTGTGGAGGGACTCATTCTGGGCTTCCAGCAGGTGGCCGCCAGGTAACTATATCTAGCTGCCAGGAGGTATCCGCCCTGGGAGAATACTGTGGAGGGACTCATTCTGGGCTTCCAGCAGGTGGCCGCCAGGTAACTATATCTAGCTGCCAGGAGGTATCCGCCCTGGGAGAATACTGTGGAGGGACTCATTCTGGGCTTCCAGCAGGTGGCCGCCAGGTAACTATATCTAGCTGCCAGGAGGTATCCGCCCTGGGAGAATACTGTGGAGGGACTCATTCTGGGCTTCCAGCAGGTGGCCGCCAGGTAACTATATCTAGCTGCCAGGAGGTATCCGCCCTGGGAGAATACTGTGGAGGGACTCATTCTGGGCTTCCAGCAGGTGGCCGCCAGGTAACTATATCTAGCTGCCAGGAGGTATCCGCCCTGGGAGAATACTGTGGAGGGACTCATTCTGGGCTTCCAGCAGGTGGCCGCCAGGTAACTATATCTAGCTGCCAGGAGGTATCCGCCCTGGGAGAATACTGTGGAGGGACTCATTCTGGGCTTCCAGCAGGTGGCCGCCTGGTAACTATATCTAGCTGCCAGGAGGTATCCGCCCTGGGAGAATACTGTGGAGGGACTCATTCTGGGCTTCCAGCAGGTGGCCGCCAGGTAACTATATCTAGCTGCCAGGAGGTATCCGCCCTGGGAGAATACTGTGGAGGGACTCATTCTGGGCTTCCAGCAGGTGGCCGCCAGGTAACTATATCTAGCTGCCAGGAGGTATCCGCCCTGGGAGAATACTGTGGAGGGACTCATTCTGGGCTTCCAGCAGGTGACCGCCAGTTAACCATATCTAGCTGCCAGAAGACATCCGCCCTGGGAGAATACTGTGGATGGTCTGATTCTGGGCTTCCAGCAGGTGGCCGCCAGTTAACCATATCTAGCTGCCAGAAGACATCCGCCCTGGGAGAATACTGTGGAGGGTCTGATTCTGGGCTTCCAGCAGGTGGCCGCCAGGTAACAATATCTAGCTGCCAGAAGACATCCGCCCTGGGAGAATACTGTGGAGGGACTCATTCTGGGCTTCCAGCAAGTGGCCGCCAGGTAACAATATCTAGCTGCCAGGAGGCATACGCCCTGGGAGAATACTGTGGAGGGACTCATTCTGGGCTTCCAGCACGTGGCCGCCAGGGAATAATATCTAGCTGCCAGAAGGCATCCGCCCTGAAACTATACTGTAGAGGCACTCATTCTGGGCTTCCAGCAGGTGACCGCCAGTTAACCATATCTAGCTGCCAGAAAACATCCGCCCTAGGAAAATATTGTGGAGGAACATATACTGAGCTTCATTCACGATAAAGGCAGGTTTGAGTCGATTCAGTGACACAACTGTAGTACTTAGTGGTAATTGAATTTTTAGTTCTTGTCGTAGCGCTTTAGTGAGTGGCGCTCTGACGGTGTCATTACGAATGAATACATGCGTACACGTCGCTAAGTCGTTGTCAACAAAAGGCTTATCAGCTGATTGTCAGCGATGCGGGGCCGGCGTTAGTGAAATGATTGTGTGATCGAAATGGCGTACTTATTCAACATAGTCGATTCATTTACTTTGTGGCTCAAAGAAATCAGATGGTATTCGAAGTGTAGTAACATACGTCATTAGAGCTGGGCTTAAATTATTATCTTGTCGCAGTGTTGTGCGTAACCCAAATAATAAGTGAGGCTGGAAGTTCTTCTGTCCATGTCGTTGTTGCCCCACCAGCCATGAGCGCAGCTTTCATTGTTCTGTGCCATGGCTCAACATGTCTATTTGACTGAGGATGATACGCTGTAGTAAAGACACATACACGTACACTTAACTTTGTTTCTGAAACATGTTTCTCTACACACGACGTCTACTGCTCCATGTGAGCTGTCGTACATAAAATACACAAGGCTACGTTCAAAACTACAATCGTGTCTAATTTCACAAAAGTTTCGTACATTTTATGTTTAAACTGAAACGTCAGTGAAAAGATCCCCGCTAGCGGGTTGTCACAAAAATGGCCGAGAAACAATACCCTGACCCTCGACCCGCGCGGGGAGGTTTTTTTTGTGTTTGGTTTTCTGCCGGGCTCCGAAAGCAAAAACATTGTTGATGCAAACACATGTGTAGTGAAACAAAATTTTGTGTACGACAATTCTGATATGTGTTCATATGTTTTTGTTGATTGTGTAGAGCAAAACACACGCTGGAAGCCTGGCTTAACCTCGACAGCCTCGCCTACACAAGTTCCTGTATAAGAAAAAATAGCAATTTTCTTTCCATTTTTTACAGTAAAGTGAGTCAGTGCGTGCAGACAATCGAAAAACGACAAAACAGCGGCATGGCATACGAGGACGCGTGGAATCTCACCTCCGTACAACTCATCTCTGCCTCCGAAGTGAGTAAAATAATACAACATTGACGTATAATAAAAACAGGTAGACTCGCGCAATGAGGGCTATCGCGTATGAATCCGCCGCTAGAGGCGCTAGTGTAGCGTGAGGTCTCCGAAATGTCAAATGTTATTGTTTGTTGGTTGACTACGCGGGTTTATTTCTAATTAAAATAATGTTGTGAATAATTGGTAACAATTCGGCTTAATTATGGCAAATATGAGTTATGTGGCAATGAATGTCAGTTATTAAAAATTTGAGCTTAGAAAAATGATTATGTTCCCATTTTTTCCGAATAAAACGGAACTGCGCGTCACTGTGGCATGGCCTATTATGTTTAGGATATGGTTCTTTTGTGTTAAAATACGATCTAAATGTAACCTTTCATTTCATGTGCGTATTAATAAACTTTAAAAGTTACAATTTTGGACCTCACTCAACAGTGGCGCCATCTGGTGAGGCAGAAAACGGTAGCCCTCATTAATACAAGAGTGTCCTATTTCATACAAGTGTCAATGTAGAGTACATGAACTAACTAAGAAATTTACTTAACTACCTTAGCTTTTTCTATGGAATTGCCAACTTATAACATTTTAATTTTAAGAGTGGGTCTTAAGGTAAACATGCAGTACCCGCTCCAGTTAAAATTGGGAACACGACACTCGAAGTTGTCGACCATTACGTTTACCTAGGAGAGACAGTCCAGTCAGGTAAGTCCTACTTAGAGAAAGAGATCTCTCGTCGTATCCAGCTCGGATGGGCAGCGTTCGTGAAGTTACGGAAAATCTTCGCGTCCAAATTACCTCAGTGTCTCAAGACAAAAGTCTTTGACCAGTGTGTGTTGCCAGTGATGACCTATGGAAGCGAGACGTGGTCCTTTACTGCGAGTCTCATAATAAGCCTCATAGTCACACAGCGAGCAATGGAGAGAGCGATGCTCGGTATTTCCAGAAATGAGGAAATCCTAAAGGAACTAAAGTAACCGATATCGCTCGAAGGATTGCTGTGCTGAAGTGGCAGTGGGCGGGACACGTAGTTAGAAAAACCGATGGCCGTTGGGGCTGAAAGGTTCTAGAATGGGGGCCACGCAGAGGACGACGCTCAGTGACCAGGTCGAAGGATAAGAGTGGCGCAAGACTAGGATTGCCAACCCTACTATATTAGGGGTTAAAAAACTATATTTAAAGATATATATATACACCGTGTTCCTGAGGAAATACATAAACTTTGAATAATACTTCTATAGCTCTTGTTAAACATATCGTACAAAGAAAGTAGTAGTTTAAATAGCATAGTTTTTAAGTTATTGGTAATTTAAGTTTAACCAACTTAATTGTGTTGGTCAGTGAGAATGAGTCTTTATCTGTGAGATGTTGCCACTTTGTGCAACCAAAAATATCAAACTATCAACTCTTTGTCAGTGGTCATTAAGTCATAGTTTCAAAAGTCAAAATTTTAAAAAACATTGTTGACGTCAAGAAAAGTTTCAAAAAGTTTATGTGGACATATGAACCAAGGTTTCAAATGCGACGTTGCCAGCTCAGGTAAAGAGTAATTCATATTAGATAAATTACATCTAAGCATTTAGTTTGTATGAAAATAAAAAATGATAAAAAAATTGGAATTCATAAAAGTGTCCATAGTAAAAAATGATCAATTTAATAGTCTGAATAACATGCCAAAGTTAGTGCATAACCTCAGGAACACGGTGTATAGTAGGCGAAACTACTATATTTTGCTTAAATCAGACAGCCAGTAAAAGCTTTTCCTAATAATAAACTATTTATTGAGAAATAATAATTAATAATTAATTTATTAAGGAATAGAACAGTAAAAATATTCATTTAAAAAATGGGTGCGTGTACTTATGTAGGCGCGTGAGAAGTTATCCTTCTTTGGCATCGTTTAAAATTAGTTTTTAATTGCATACAAATAATTAATTACAATAAATTAATAAAAAGTCTGGAAAAGGACACAGTCAATAAAGTTCAGTTTTAATTTGAAAAAATAAATAAATAATCAAAATATTCAATTAAAATCGCTACTGAATATAATTTATTAGAACATTTGTGATTTGCACTTGTATGAAACTCAAACACGTATTCCGAATATACAAACTAGAAACATGTGGATAAATATTATAAATATGAATACCTATAACTGTTACTTTATTACAAAAAATAAAGATGTGGTTTTTGGTTCTACTACACCAATGGTCAAGAGATGGCGCTGTAGTCTCCTGAATCGCGCTTTGGTTCCGTTGTTCCAGATTAATAAATACTTTTTGTTACTTTATTACAAAAAATAAAGATGTGGTTTTTGGTTCTACTACACCAATGGTCAAGAGATGGCGCTGTAGTCTCCTGAATCGCGCTTTGGTTCCGCTGTTCCAGATTAATAAATACTTTTGATAGGCCTTCACAATGCAGTCGTTAGCACCCACAAAATAAAGATTCTATTTCTATTTTGTTGGTAGATTTTCTTAATGTGCGGTAAACACAAAATTTTGTGTTACAGTGATGCGCGCGCATCTTAAAATTTCACTCTCATCATTTTTTCATAACGCGCCTAAAGAAGTATAACTTCAAAAAGTTAGTAACTCATGCAGGACCGATCTGTATCCAGATCTCAGATCCTTGGTGAGGCCTATGGCCAGCAGTAGTGTAGTATCCTACGGCTGACATGATGATGTATAACACAACGCCGCTCGGACATTTCTCCTTACACTTTTGTTAGCCGATTGGGAGTCCTGTTTTATACGTCAATGATGATAGTATAAGAAATAGGGTATTTGACAAGTTTTAGAAAACGATCTCACGTTATTGACTAATGTTTAATGCAGTCCGTAATAGTGGATATTCATCATTCTGTTGTGTATTTCAGTAAAAATAACCAAATCAAAAACTCCATTTTCAAGTTGCCGCGAAAACGTTTCTCTGGACAATATGGCGTCTTACTAGTGTGTGACGTCACACGGCTGTTATTAAAACGTCAAACGTTACAATGTAATGTCACTTTAACCGGAAGTTTACTTGAGTGTGACGTCATTTTAGGCTCCGCCAATCCCAAGCGTTTGGGGTAAAAATAGTAAAAACTCCTGCCAATATTCATTCTAAACACAGATGCTAACAATTGGCACTTTATTTTTAATACTGTCAAATACCCTATTGCCGTGCTAGTTGCTTTGCGAGAGTAATGCACGAATGGTATTCTATTTTGTTGTTGTTTCGTCCGTTGTAATAAATGTAATAATTAATTTCTGTTTTCCAGGCCCACTGTCGCGCAATCCTGCTGTCCAGCTACTACGAGGAGACAAAGGCATTGGTTCCGGCCGCGTCGCCGGCGCTAAGGAAAGTGCTCGAGCAAATGGTCGACTTGTACGTCGTATACTGGGCTTTGCAGAAACTCGGCGATCTGTTGAGGGTAAGTTTATATTCTTTAAACACTAGAACAAATATTGAAGTAACAGCTACTAGAAGGAGACGAAGGTGTTGGTCGCTGAAAAAATGTGCATGAACTAAAATTCGACTTGTATAATGCGATTCAAATAAGAATAGGAAAGCCAATGACCTCAGATATGTAGTGCACGTGTGTGAGTGCTGGCGACCTGCCGCCGCCAATGGCAACGCTTCTCTGCGTACGTGCAATCAATGACGCGAAATGAAGCTTTATCTTGTACTAGTGGCCCGCCCTCACTACGCTTCGGGGTAGAATTGATCAAAATCCTTTCTTAGCGGATGCCTACGTCTAACATCTACCTGCATGCCAAATTTCAGCCCGATCCGTCTAGTGGTTTGGGCTGTGCGTTGATAGATCACTATGTCAGTCAGTCACCTTTGAGTTTTATATATATAGATATGAACCTTTTTTACTTATGTGGTGTACCTAAAACGTTTGATGTGGATGATCACCAAGTGCCGAGTGCCACCGAGTAGATGTAGTGAGCGAATGGACGGTCGCTGGGTCAGTTAGTATTCTTGCTTCAGTTGGGTGTCGGAAAACCTTTAACACTTAAAGGTAATGAAATAGGGGCATTGTGTATGGGAACCGATTATGTGATGCAGTGAAAGTCACGGGAACTAGCTACTCTTTCTAAATATATTTAGTCGTGACTATAAATATGGTGCCTCGAATACCAAATAGCATCTTAGTGATCAGAATAAAGCATTGCGTAATTAGGTATTTCAAGATTATTCTGCTCTAAAGCTTTATTTTTAGATTTTCCTTTGATTTTAGTACTGTTAAATGCACATCTGTCAAATGTCGCTTGAAAAGTACGGTTTGCTAAAAAATCTCGGAACACTTTTTTAGCACTCGGCTGATTCCAGAATAAAATCAAACATTTTTAAACAAACAATAACAAATGTTGATAATTAATATTAGTTGTTTTTTTTTCATTTATTGAGCTTTGGCTATGAATGGTTGATAATAAATCGTCAAATGTCACTTTATGGTGCGTTCAAAAACTCGATTTAAAGCTTTCGTTTACATATAGGATGCATGTGCGTATGTGATCTGCATGATTATTCATAACTTCTTCGGCAGTAATGCAGAGATGAGCGAAATTGAAGAGCTAGATTCTGTTTTTTTTTCACACAGTCTTAATAAAGAAATACTATTAAAAATCGGTTGTGTTCTTTCTCAACCTTAGTAAATTAATTTTATCAAAAAAATCTGATGTTTTGTCTCACTTAATCTTAGTAAATAACTTTTATTAAATAGCTCATTTTTTTGGTCACTCTACCTATTTGGTTTGAATTAACAGCTATGACGTCAAAATATGGCGCCCAGTCGGTCCTATTCTTAGTTGAATCGCATTATACGTCGTTTACTAGACGTTGCAGAAACTCGGATATTTGTTGAGGGTATGATAACATTCATATAACATAAAGTCAATTACCTTGAGGAAATATATAAATGATTACCTAAAAATACAATGGTAACCAGAAGCTTAGGTTCGGTTACAAATTGTATTTTTTTGATGATCATTATTTTTGATTGGTCCCATATTTTTTTCTTAATTTTTAAGTCAAGTATTAATGCTCATGCTGTCACTATCTTTGCAATAAAAATAGTATGAGACAATATGCGAAGGCTGCGTTATTTCATCCTTAGTTAAATTTGACTATAGTTTAAGTCACGTCAAATACATATTCATACGTCAAATCATGTAAATTTTTTACAATGTTGTTTTTCTCTAGTATTTTAACTCTAGTCAAAGTTTGTTGTATTAGGTTTTATTTCTTTTTTTACTTATATATGGTGAGGTTTCAAATGTTATACATCATACGCGATTACTGTAAGGCTCGCTCGTTTTTTTCTACAGTTCACGTCGATATCTGAGCGCGACATCGAACAACTACAGTCGTGGTACGAGAGCCTTCTGACCAGCCTGCGCCCCAACGCCGTGGGACTCGTCGACGCGTTCGATATACGCGATGAGGTATATATTTCATCACCATCAGCCTATTAATGTTCCCATTGCTGGGGCACAGGCCTTCCCTATGGATGGACTAGGGAGATTGGGCCATGACCCACGCGGGCCCAGTGCGGATTGGCGGGTGCTAACGACTTAACATGCCTTCCGAAGCACGGAGAAACTCGAAGATTTTTGGTCACCCATCCAATGACCAACCATTGCGAAAGTTGCTTAACTTCAACGATCGCAACCAAACGCGCTAGCCATCTGCGCCATTGAGCTCCTCTTTCCCTATTAGGGGTCATCCATAAAGTACGTCACACGTTAAGGGGGAGGGAGAGGGTCGATGTTGCGTGACGTCACCTTTCAAAATCGTATACTTTAGAACTACAGTGGAAACCGGATATAACGACATTGAAGGGACCATATAACTTCGGACGTTATGTCCGGTAGTTGTTATAAGCAATATACAAAAGTAATCATATTATTGTCATATCTATGTATGTAGTAGGTATGGTTATGGATAATGAATAAATGCTTATTATCGTATAAAATATCGAAAAAAGAAGTAATAAGTTTACTATGAAAAAATGGAAGTACCTACAGTATATTTTATTTTGGTGGAACAAGTAAAATGGTTTGTCGTTATAGCCGATGAAAGTCGATATAAACATTATCAATATTCATTGGCTATAAGTCGTTTTAAGCGGTATTTCGTCATATCCGGTGTTGTTATAGGCGGTTTTTTTACTTAAGGGTTTACATAAAGTTTCGGTCAGGACCTTGCCAAGCGGTCGTAATAACCGGCAAGTCGTTATAAACGATGTCGTTATATTCGGTTTTGACTGTATTATATAATCAAAAAAACTAAAATATTTAGTATACTATCTGTGAGGTTTTTAATTTGTCTTGTTGGCTAATTTTCGGAACTGTGTGACGTCATTCTAAGAAGGGGGGACTGACAAATGATACCAACTGTGTCAAGGACGGTAGAGGGGTAATAAAATTGCGAAATTAGTGTCACGTACTTTATGAATTACCCCCAGGGAGAATGCGCCATGACTTACCTTGCCAGCCCAGTGCGGATTGGTGGGTGTTATCGACTGCAGATCCAGCCAAGACCAATGTCTTAAATTTTTTGATCACCCATCTTATGACCGGCCATTGAGAAAGTTGCTTTGACGACTGCAGATGCAGTTTTTTTTATCCATGTTGTAATAATAATGAAATTGCGACAGATAAATTTTCTTTATTCCCAGTAGCCCCGAGGATTGCCTTTGGAGGCAAATGGGAAAGAGGTCAGTGTCATTGCCCCCACTTCAGATTTCTTATTCCCATTTGCCTCTAGGCGCAATCCCCGATTGAGGGACATTGCCATCGGAGGCAAATGAAAAAGAAGTCAGTGTCATTGCCCCCACTTCAGATTTCTTATTCCCATTTGCCTCTGGGGACAATCCCCGATTGAGGGACATTGCCATCGGAGGTGAATGGGAATGAAGTCAGTGTCGTTGCCCCCACTTCAGTTTTCTTATTCCCATTTGCCTGTGGGGGCAATCCCCGCTTGAGGGACATTGCCATCGGAGGCGAATGGGAATGAAGTCAGCGTCATTGCCCCCACTACAGATTTCTTATTCCCTTTTGCCTCTGGGAGCAATCCTCGCGTGGAGGACATTGCCATCGGAGGCATATAGTAATGAAGTCAGTGTCAGCTTAGTTACCTTATTTCCATTTGCCTCTGGGGGCAATCCCCGCGTGGGGGACATCGCCATCGGAAGCAAATGGGAATAAAGTCGGTGTCGCTGCCCCACCTCAGTTTTTTTATTCCCATTTGCCTCTGGTGGCAATCCCCGCATGGGGGCTGGGAATAAAGGATGATAGATAGATAGATAGATAATGCGTTCATTTTTTCTTCAACATACATATAAATTTACAGACAGAGTAATACAATAAAAAAAAAGATACAAGAAGTCAGCTATGAAATATCCATATGTATGCTGCAGAAAGCAAAAGGCCAAGGCTCGGCTAAACATTTGCCAGTTTTAAGGCAAAATACCGATTTTCAGTCATCACCTTCGGATGAGTTTAATATGTTGTTAAATGTTACCAAACTCCTCAATAGATTCTCCATTCGACACTCGGGTCGTACGACGGTCGCGTATACGAGCGACTGATGGAGGAAGCCCTCAAGAGCCCCCTCAACCAGGAGCCCGTCAACCAGAGCTTCCAAAACTACCTTAAGCCTTTGATGCAGGGAAAACTGTGATAATTATAACGTTTCTGTGACAAATCTATCAAATTCTTAGATTAATCAAAAAGGCAAGATACGGCGCTCGCGTATCAAAAGGAGAACCGCTTAAATTAGGTAACAAATTGTTTGCTAAATCTTCCCTCTGTGATATTTATATCACACTCCTCTTTGCTTTAGCAAAACGACCTGTTTACTTACAAACAATTCGCTTTACTCACAATTTTAAAGAGCAATAAGCCACACCTTTTGTACGTTATTATTTAAGTGGTGTATTTTTTATTTCGTGTACAATAAATTATTAAATAAATAAATTTAACACGCAAACACGTTGTACTTTTAGAACAATATTGCGGATATGTGTTGATAAGAAGAAACAATGTTTTTGAAAATGTGCGCAATAAGTTCAAGAACAATAACAAATTCCATGGCATCACTTTTAATTTCTAATACTATAAAAATATTATAATATCATGGTTTGTTATGAATTTTATTCGCCTACATTCGGTTTTTGTTATCAAGAAAAGAACAGCAATGCAGATGACGGTTGTTTTTTGACTTAAGTAAGACCGTACAGTGTCTTCCCTTTTTGATTAATGAATCTAAGACGAAATTGGATCTTGTTATTCACTCTTTAATACCTGAAACTTGACTTGACTTTAGTTAAAAATAAATTAACTATAAACATGACAATTTTGATGCGAAATATTTATCCTGCATTTTAATTGCATCATTAATATGGGCATTGGTTAAGAGTATTTTGCAGTTTTGTGATATCTTTAAATAGGTGAATTTTTAATTTACACTACAACAGTACTTTATGAATTTAGATTAATAATTTTATGTATTGTTAGCGTTAATATAGTGAGTAGGTACAATTTTTATATTGGAGTTATGGTAGCTGCGTTCGGTATTTGCATCGCAGAGGCGACGGATTTTGTGTCACGTGATCACAGATTAATCTGAGCAAATTGCTATTACCGAACAGCCCGGCCAACCGTAGAGTCTGTGCGGAAAGTGAATGGTATTTAGATTGGAGGGCGCTGTAGTGCTTTTCTACCGTTTTACCCCTTTTAGACATGATTGAAAAGAAACCGCAAGAAATCACAACAACAACAAAAATCCGTATCAATACAAAACTTTGACGTTTTACAGATTGCTGGGTTTGATTTGATTGCCAAATAAAAATCTTAATGTTAGTTCCGTTTTTCGACACGACCATTCTCTTTCCGCACAGACTCTAGATTAATTTCTAATCTCACAATATGAAAGATAACAGATTCTTTCTGGTCGGTCAAAATACTCTGCGCAAACAGATTTACATCGGACTTTACTCAGCGGAATTACCGAACGCTTCAGATTTACTCTAGGTGTAATAAACGATGGATTCAGACTAAAAATATTGATCAGAAGCAAATACCGAACGCAGCTGGTATTAGCCATAGAGCAACACGGACGTAGTAGCCATGGCGACATAATATTATTCAAATCATTCTGTCTTTTTTTTGCGGGGGAAATACGCAGTTCAACATATTCGCATATAAATCAAAACTCGAAACTACAACTGAGGAGGTTAAGGACTGTATTTTTCATTATTATTAAAGAGAAAAGAAAACAGTGGTGGCTGTGACGAAGGAAAATAAACCTTATTAATATAAAAGAAAAACAATCTAAATAAATAAAGTATCAAAAACTCATAGACAAAAAATATAAAGGAATGATGTAAAAGATGCGCTCCGGCACAACAACACTATAAATAATCAAAATAATTTATTCGGCTTAGGCTGTTACAAGCACTCATGAATGTCTAGAAGCTACGCCATCGGTTCGTAAATCTACTGCAGGAGACCTTGTACTGAGAAGGAAAGGCAAGGAACTCAGCAAGGGCTGTTTTTCTCTCCTTGTCTTATTATTTACAGTCGTCAAATTGAAAAATAACTTCAAAGATGATTCATGAAGTCACCTTTCATTACATAATGATTAAATATTTCATTTTGATTGCTGTATCATACAGTATAAATATGTACATTGACACGTGTCCGTGATGCTAGCGTACCCACGATCAATATACAGTTTTTCGTTATGCCATTAAATACTGCGTAAATAGTGCCAAATTAGTGTAAAAATAAAAAAAAATAGTGCCTCTTTAATTTAAGAAATAAAGACCATTTTTACTGTGTACGCTACCATGACGTCAAGCTAGCGTACCCATGGCCGACCCCAAGAACGGCATATATTTAAGCAACGAAAATGACACACAAAAATAGTTCGCAAATAGTGCCCTGGCTTTACAAAATTTCATAATCAATACTCTTAAAGGACCAAAGATATTGAGCTAAACATTCTTAGCTGGCGTCAACCTGGCGTACCCATTATAGTTCTCATAGAAAATGAACTTTTCTCGTTATCAATTCTATATGTATAAATAGTGTGTCAAATAGTGCCCCTAACAGTAAAAGTATTTTATGTTAATTCGCAGTAAAACAATATAAAAAAGCAATTAAATTATTTTTATATATGAAGTACAGTCATGTACAGAAGTGATAATATTTTCGTAGTATAGTAGGTAAGTAAGGTACTTAGTAGGTAGGTTGAAATTCTTATATGAATTTATGATTGGTGAATTCGAATTGAAATAAAATATCTTTTATAAAAAGTACCTATTTATTTTAGTAAAAATACATATCCTAGGTATAGAAAATCTCTTAGTGCATAAATTAATTTTGTGTGTAACTGTACTACAATACATTTGTTCCTAGAATTTAACATCCTCTTTATGTATTGTTGTGATGCGGATTCACATAAAATACTTTTACTGTTAGAGGCACTATTTGACACACTATTTATACATATAGAATTGATAACGAGAAAAGTTCATTTTCTATGAGAACTATTATGGGTACGCCAGGTTGACGCCAGCTAAGAATGTTTAGTTCAATATCTTTGGTCCTTTAAGAGTATTGATTATGAAATTTTGTAAAGCCAGGGCACTATTTGCGAACTATTTTTGTGTGTCAATTTCGTTGCTTATATATATGCCGTTCTTGGGGTCGGCCATGGGTACGCTATTATTCACAGATTTTTTTACATTTACAGTGTGTACCTAAAGAGAAAATTGCATATCCATCGATACTTTTCAGAACAAGTATCTTATTTGCGTTATGATACAGCAGTAGTGGATCACTAAATAGCTCGGTCTTAGGCCTGTATTATAGAAAGATTCTCAGTAATTAATCTAGTCTTGAGCATAGATAGAAAGGGATGTCGCTATTTATAGCACATAGCGACATCCCTTTCTAAAGATCAACACTTAGTTATCATTCTGTAATACAGGCCTTATGTTCCTATTACAGAATGACAATTGGGTGTTGACCTATGCTTGAGTACAACTGTACTCACAAATCACATAGCGACATCCCTTTCAAACTGTGCTCAAGTGGGGATCAGCACTTGGTTGTCATTCTGTAATACAAACTTTAATCACTTCCATCTGTCAAAAGCAGTTAGCAAATAGTGTTGCTCTATGGATATAAGTGGAAAGATGTCCCATGAGCCTGATTTACATCATTAAGTTAGGTGGTGGAAATGAACATTCCTTATCATACTTATTATTGTACACTTTGTAGAAATTATTATGGAAATTAAAAAAAACATGCTTTATTTATATACATGATAAATAATAAAATGTTATTTGTTTATTTGTGTTTTTATCTTCTACACTCATTTTAATGGGTTTTTCTCATAGTACTCAATTAAATTCCCCTTAATTGTGTGGAGAGGTTTGTTAAATAAAAGATTATTATGTTTCTAGAACAAAGGAATGGAGTACTATGAGAATAATCTGTTTAAATGACTCCCTATGCATATTTTACTTTGATGTTTATTCTTGCATTATCAGTTGCATTGTTAGCTCACAAGTAAATCATAAATAAATAAAAATTTAGTAAAACATTTGACACAAAATTGTGCGATGAACAACAAAACATATTATGCGTAATTACTTCCTGTAATATTAGGTAAAAGAAGACAATTTCTTTAAAACTTTAAGCCTTTGTGTCCGTAAAACTGATAGGAGCATTTCTTGAGTTTCTAAAGCTTCAGGTATTGGTAAAGTCCTTAATTGCTGAGCAATGTTTTTGCCAAATGTGTCAAACTCATCACCAGCACTATCTGTCTGTACTGTTTGCACCTGTGTTTCCAGCAATGGGCTATCGCTGTCCAACAATTTGATGAAGGTCCTATTATTTGCAGGTCTTTCTGTTGACAGCCAAGAGTGCTCAATTGTGTCACTACTGCTTTCATCTGCTTTAACATTATCTTCTATTTCTAATTCAAGTTTACTTACATCCTAAAAATAAAAATTCTCCTTTAATCTATAGGTAAAGTTTGTGAGGTTGTAAGGAATAATCTCTGGCTCTATATTAAACTGATTTTGAAAACTCTTTAAACGATAGAAAGCCACAGTGTGTCATTAATTATATATTATAACAAAAACTATAATCTACACCAAAGCTAATGGAAGGCAGGCCACTACTTTTTATTTTATTTTTTATTATTATCTCATTCTTTTATCTGGCTAGATGCTGTTGTGAACAAATAGTTTTAGTAGTATAATCTACAGTTGTAACAATAACATCTTATCTGGGATGAGAAGTAGAATGAAAAAATATTTACTTGTGTATCTAACTCTGGAATAGCATTCTTTTGTAGCACTTGTAACATTCGCAATTCAATTTCATTAAAGTCATCAGTATTACTAATTATAGATCCATGCCCATCAACGTTTTGGTGCCATTTGATTTTTTTCCTTCTTAGTTTTGCTTTTATATTGCATAAATACTGAAAGAAATATTAATATGTACAAAACTAACATCATGATAATTTAAAACTAGTAAGTAGAATAGTTATACTTTTTTATCATCAAGACTCAAAACAATAATTAGGTTCTAACACCTCATTTAGAAAGAATATGATCGAATTTCCATAAGAATATATATTATTATGATTTTTTATAACGGACATAGCTAAGCAAACTACCCCTCCTGAGGTTAAGCATATGTAAAGTCCAGTTGTGAAGCTAGCTGATGTGATCCTCGCCACACCATGTCAAAACCAAGTAAAACTTGCCAGCCTGGACCCAATCCTCTACCCCATAGAGCTGTATAAACTTACACAGCTATGGAAACGCAACACTGCTAAAAGTTATTGTTATTTTACTGTGATCTTCTTTAGAAAATTATATCTTAGTCAATCATTGTTTTTATCGTGAACTTTTTACCTTGGCCCAAGACCTGTGATCTTTGACTTTGCCTAGAGAATTCAGTTGTGGTGTAATTTTCCTCCATTTAGATTGAACAGCATTAATACATTTTGTTGTTTTCTTATAACCTATAATCACTTCAGGGTTTTCCTCAAAAAACGTACAGAGAACATCAGTTTGCCTTGCCGATATTTGTTTGTGGGTGTCTGAATTTTCAGTTGCTGCAAATTAAGAGTTACTTAAATTTCGGTTTAATGTATTTCTTATTAATACAACAGCTGATAATGAGATTACATCTTTACCTTTTGACATCGCATACACTATATCTACAGAACATTTATACACTACGAGAAGCTTAACTTCTGAAGATTTAATTTCTTTCTTAGGCTATCATGAAAAAGTTAGCTTTAGGTTGGTTTTATGCATTTACTAATTTTTTGGGATTGTTTACAAATAAAACAAACCAGGCTTTTTTTTATTATTTGTCGTTTTATAAACATTGAGAGACAAAAGGAACTGAACCCATACAGCCATCGTCATGACTTATCACTATAAAAATTTCTAGCCTTACAGACAGACCGTTACTCGGAGGGTTCATTAGCTCTTGGTCTAATAGTTTGTATGTTAGAACGTCTGTAATGCGTGTTAGAACTTAGAAAACAATAAAACAAATAAGAATAGGAAAGCCAATGACCTCTATCTGTCAAATGTCGCTTGAAAAGTACGGTTTGCAAAAAAAAACTTGGAACCCTTTTTTAGCACTCCGCTAATTCAAGAATAAAAACCGAACATTTGTAAACAAACAGTAACAAATATTGACAATTAATATCGGTTGTTTTTTTTCCATTTATGAGCTTTGGCCATGGCCATGGTTGATAAACTAAATCGTCAACCAAATGCCACTATAAGTTGCGTTCATAAACTCGATTTTAAACTTTCGTTTACATAAAGGATGCATGTTCGTATGTGACCTAGTAATAGTGCATGATTATTCATAACTACTCCAGCGGTAATGCAGAGATGAGCGGAATAGAATGAGTTTTTTTTTCTCAATCTTAATAAATAAGTTTTATTAAATAAAAACTTTGTTTTGCTCACTCTACCTATTTGGTTTGAATTGACAACTATGACATCACAATATGGCGACCAGTCGGTCCTATTCTTAGTTGAATCGCTATAAATGGCCATGATCGTTTTGGCGGAGGGGTTCGCCCGTCCATGCCGTCTCCAGGTATAAATGCTTTAAGTCTGATTGGGGAACCGAATTGGAGAATCGGATCACAGAGTACCTTACCTTAGAGATTATAACCGGAATCGGATATAGCAAGAACCTGATAAGTGCCCCAACCCTAATTATCTCTTCAAGACATTACTAATGAATGGCCGAAATGGAGAAATTCACGGCCGTAAAACTTATTTAAAAAAAAAAATTCAAGACATTTTTTTTCCTGCCGAAATGGAAAAGTTCATGGCCGTAAAACTTTAAACCAAGACATTTTTTTAACGGAGATCTTAGATTAAAACAAAAAGTCGGAGATGGATAAAAAGTCTAGCAAAATATGCAGAGGATGCCTTAATAAGGAAGAGAATTTCACATATGTGTTAGGTGACAATGTTTCGACAGAATTGTATTTATTTTGTACGACTGTTGAGGTATATTTATTACTTAGCTTAGTTACCTATTTTATTAAATTTATTAAAACCCCTCCAAAATTAATCAAATTTATTTATTGTATTTTTACATTATTTTTAACGTATAATAGTGAGAAAATGTCCGAAACTTTATGAATAATGTTAAATACTAAAATGTATGAAAGAAGAACTAAATTTACTTTATATTAATTAGGTATACCATGATGACTCGCCGAGAACATTATGTGATACATGTTATGAAAATCTTACAAAATATTCTGAATTCAAAAGGACCTGCATTCAATCACAAAATACTTTGTATCACAATTTAAACAGAGAAAATGGTGCTGTCACGTCTGAAATTTATACTGGAGACGATTCAAAGTATTTACAGGGCTTAAATCCAATAACTGTTAAGGCTGAAGATTATCATGATGACATACATGATATTTTAAAAACTGAAGATGCCACTGACAACTTCAGCAATGGTAAGTCTTTATATTGTATTTGTTAATATGGTGGTAGAAAATATGATAGAGTTACTGCCAAATTACATCAATATTATCATATTGATTAGTTCATATATTTATATTTTCAGATTTGTATGATGTTTTTAATTTAGATGAAAATTTATACAGTACATCTAGCAAAAAAATTAAAAAGAGGTAGGTTGAAATGAGACGATACTTTTACATTACTCGTATATTTTATCTGGCTTAATTTATATAATGATCTTTTTTAAGGAAAGTAAAACTGAAGATAGATAAACAAACGAAAGCACTTAAAAAAGCAAAGCTTAAAATCACACATAAACACTTTAGCTTTACTTGTGAATTATGCAATAAAAAATTTAATTATCTGGAAAGATTTGAAGCTCACAAACTGGAACATGAGGGAAAGGAAGTAAGTATTTTTCTAAACATACTTTTTAACAATACATGTATATTTAATCATTAAGTTATGAAATTAATTAATATGTGACTTCATGAATCATCTCTGAAGTCATTTTTCAACTTGACGACTATAAATAATAAAATAGGAAGAAAAAGATAGCCCTTGCTGAGTTTCTTGCCGGTTCTTCTCAGTACAAGGTCTTCTGCCGGAGATTTACGATCCGATGGCATAGCTTCGATTATGATTACAATAACAATTCTTTAATTCAATTTTACATTAATATGATAGGTATTAATCTATTTTTATTACCACTTACCACTTCGCACCCCTACTTTTATTACTAATTATTCATTATATATAGGTCCTCATTAGTTGTTCACCATGTAATAAGACCTTTGTGACTTGGAGTGGACTCAGGCGACACAATGATAGTGAACATACACTGGTGCGGCTAGACAGACTTAAGTGCAATATTTGTGGGAAGATTTGCAAAAACCAACAAACATTGAAGATGCACTATAAAACACATGGAGAGAGAAAGCAGTATGTCTGCGATGTATGTGGAAAGGGATTCACAACAAAATTTATTCTAAAGGCAAGCATAATTATGTAATATACAAAGGTTTACAGATCATACATTAAAACATTTTATGGCTCTTTGTATTTGCCTAACCAAAGTTGACAGCATTGTTTAATCCTGTAAGCTCTTTGAAGTAATGAAAAGGAAGACTAATGTCAAATTAAGTTGGACATGTATGAATAGCCATAGTTTAGTTGCATGTTACTGAAACAGATTCAGATGAAATTTGGCAAACAGGAAGTATATAACCTAGATGAAAACAAAGGACACTTTTTATCCATGGAAAGATTGCCCACAGATAAAATTCTTCAGTCCAAACAGATACAGCTACAGAAAAAATCTTGTTGATTTTGTCTTAAAAGTTACATTACAAATATATCTCTGTCTATCTATATGTATTAAATCAATAAAAAAACTGAAACTAGTGCGAGTCAGACTCGCCCTAGGGTTCTGTACAAATTTTTAGGTAAAAAGTAGTATCTAATTGTTACATTTACTTAGAAGTCAGATATTTTCACAGCTTCAAGAGATTGCAGACTTGAGTATATGTTCAACTTGATACCTTCATGTTTTCCCGAGATAAAGGGTTTTGACAGACACAGATAAACGCCCATATCTTTTTGTATGATAACTAAGAAGTTTCGTTTTTTCACAGCTTCAAAGAACCAAAGCCCTGAACATACGGTTTAAATCTCAACTCGATACCTTAATGAATTCCCTGACATAAAGGGTCTTGACAAACAGACAGACGGACAGACAGGGTTCGTTTTTTTTCAGAGGTATGGAACCCTAAAAAATAACAAATCATATGATTTCAGGCTCATCTAGAAACTCATAAAGAAAATAGAGAGAGGCTATTCACTTGTGAGCATTGTGGGAAGAAATTTTACACAAACACAATATTGCTGTCCCATGTTTCGAGGAGGCATACCAACCGAAGGTTTATTTGCCAAATATGCAGTTACCCATTTACTGATAAGTACAATTTAGCAAAACATTTGCTAATACACGATGGAAAGAAGTTATTCAAGTGTGAGATTTGCAATAAATCATATGCTACACAATCTTCGCTGGTTGAACATAGACGTATACACTCTGGTGAGAGACCGTACATTTGTAGTTACTGCCCAAAGAGTTTTCTGTCTAAGAGACGTCTAGATGATCACCACAAAATACACACAGGCGAACGTCCTCATAAATGTATGGTTTGTGAACAGGGCTTCACACAACGTGGGACATTGAAAAGGCATATGAAAGTTCATGATAGGACTATGCCAATGATTAATTAAAAATGATTAAATAAAATTATTTAGATTAATATTTTTTTTATTTTTAAGCAGAGGATGCGGCTTTGAATCCCGTCTGAAACCTGGAACGATTTTTCTATTAAACATTTCTTCAAAAATGTTTTATCTTTCGCACTTATTTTTATTTATGACTAAAATGGACTTGCTATTTTCATGTTTTTATTTTTTAAGCATTTAACTGCTAGATGTTTAAATGTAAAGTTTACTAGAAAAAAAATCCACGCGGGCCAGGCCGTGTCGAATTTTTTTTCTAGCCTTAGGCTGCAAGGCAGCGCCATCTCTTCGCATTGTAGATACGTATAACTACTACTACTATAAAATGAATACTTTTACAAATAATAGACATTTGAAAGAAATTGCTATTTCAGCAATTACTCACCATCAGAAAGGTTCTGGACCAAATTTTACTGTCTTCTGTAAGGTGAAGGTTACTTCACCAGACATGCGCTTCAATTCAAGAGCAAATCCGCTATGAGAGGCCTTACCTCTCTTTAAATGCCGCAGGAACGTCAACATCATAATGGTATGGTAATAACATCAACAATGGATAGATTCCTCCTAAAAGTAGCCGAACGAATGAAGCAGCACGCAAAATCTGATTAAATATTAAGTTCTTGTACACTATGATAAAAAAATGTATTCATCATAACATACTCATTGTTCAATAAATGCGTTTTGAGTGCCTACTGTGGGTTCACGGTGCCCGTGCCTATCGAATATCGAATAATATCGAAGCTGAAACTTAACTAAAACCGATATAAATTAGTTATAATTTAAAACTTAGTATGCAGGAAATCATTTGACCAAGCAATTTTTTCATCCTGCATGGATTTACTTGCAATTTTCACAGAAGATAGGAATAACGCTGGAATCCAAATCTATATCATGCCGAGAGGCGCTTTTATCCTGGGGGTGGTTGCCACTCCATCTCGCGGGGGTTTTTTTTTTATTACCTACTTTTTAACTAAAGAATCAATTAAAAAAGTAAATCAAAGTAAAAGAAATCTATAGGTAAGTACATATTTTTGTAAAGTAACAGATTTTCGACGAAATATCGACGTTTTATATAGGTTTTTCAATAATAACTCGGAAATATCCATTTTAATAGTAGCTCATAAATGTTTTGTATAATTTCTCTGCAATCAATACAGACAGAATTACTATGGCTTATTAATGGTTAGCTTTTGTTCGTCTAATACTAAATTTGAAAGATTTAAAGTGAAATAGCGGTGAAACTGCAGTTTTTGAGGAAAACTTATAGAATATTTTTTACGGTACCTTTCAGTCCTAAAAAAAGCATGAAAATCGTGCGAGTTATGATAAAAATAATGTCAGTCTACTTTTTTCTACGAAAATTTTTGTGAATTTTTAACCCCCAAATTACCCCTATAATTAAAATTGATGTTTGTCCTTCTGCGATTATCTTGGTAAATGTATTATCAATACATCCTAAAAGCTTGGCCAATTTATAAAGCTTAATAAAAAAAATGCCTAATTCCAAATTTTTATGCAAATCGATGCAGGACGATAAAATTGTGAGACTGCCATTTTTGAGCTTCATTCTTTAGACTATTATTTTTTTACGCAAAAACTACTGAACAGACTTGCATTAAATTTCATAGGTACGCAGAGGTATATGTTTGACCCAGACTGAGACATAGGCCGTATAAAGAAAGAAAGCCGAAAGCCGATCGGCGCCTATTGGCGCTGATCCTTTTTCTATGGACCGGCGCCGACACGCGCTGATCCGAATAATAAATAATTTGTATTTGAATTATTATCCTTAGATTAAATCAATCTAAGTTATAATCTTTTTATAAATCTAATAACTTTATCTTTTATTAACTAAGCGCTAAAATTATTTGTTTCGTACTTACCGAATGGTGACAGCAAGTCTTTCTTCTGGAAGGATTGGTTGTTTATGCCAATTGCACCAATTTTTCATCAAACGGTTTTTCACTAAATCCAAAATGTAATAAAATGTTTCTTGAATCATTCTTGTATATGTATAAAATCTTTGTTCATCAAATTTCAATTTTTTTACAAATAAATGATGGTATTCTCCGAAACGTTTCCTTTCTCTATTTATAGGATGTATAGCTGTTTTTCGCATTTTTAAATAAACATTTTCTAACAAAACCAAATCATCGTCCGATGAGTCCGACATTTTGCTTGATCTGCTTTAATCGGCTTCCTTTATGTAGGAAGGATCGGCGCCGATAAGCGCCGATCGGCTTTCGGCGTTCTTTCTGTATACGGCTTTAGACAAGGGCGGATCCAGGGGGAGGGGTCATGGGGGTCATGACCCCCCCCCCCCTGGGCTGGGTACAGATGGACCAAACCCAGGGGGATTTTATTTAAGTACATACTTTCAATATTTAATATACCACGACTATATGACCCCCCTGGCGCCAAAGCTGGATCCGCCCTTGGACATAGAATACAATACTGTTTACCGCGGAAAAATTACTGGTTCCTGTGGGATTCTCAAAAAAAACAAACTAACGCGGACGAAGTCGCGGGTGGCCGCTAGTCTTCTAAGTTCTATTATAGGAAAAGAAAACCCTAAACCGACTACTAACCGAGTGTCGGAATCCTGTTATTTATGTTCAGTCAGTAAGCGAGTACTTCACGAGTAAAGTCTCTAACAGTTGAGCAGCAAGCACCGTTAAACATTCAATATGATATGAATACATCGTGTTTTCGAAACCCGATTTTATCATAGTAACATCAATATGTGTGCGTAAGTTATTCACCGTAGCGTTGTATACCGCCGCGCCGGCCGCTTCGTGTGATGGGCATCGATTAACTGGGTTCGCTATAAAAAAACGTATATGTACCCAGCTAAGTACACGTAGACGCCGTTTTCCATTAAGATGAGTCTATTTCAAATATTATATTTTAGTATTTAATACAAGGAACTAATTTTGTTGTGATTAATGTTTTGTTTAATTAGCGATAAAGTGTCGACTACATATTGAAAATCGTATCTAAAAATACTTCATTCACAGTAGAGAATAAAGGAAAGAGTGGGCGAACAGTGGACCATGTATTTATTCCGAGAGGATGAGAGGAACACGTACTGCGTTCGCGTTATGTTATTGTGAGATTTGAGAGAAAAATTCTATTGCACTTGTGTGCGTTACAGTCAACTTGTAGCCACTAACCGCCACAGACAGATTACACACGCTCTGCTGTTGAATAGCATTTGTGGGTTATGTGAAACGAATTGCACTATCTACGTATACACGCGTGTATAAGCGAAGCGCTTACACATAAAACGGGCGGTCTTCGTGATAAGAGAACAATAAAACAACACGTATGCTTATATGTTCGTTCAGTGTAGCGTTCGCAGTGTTATTGTGGTGAATTTGTTGATTTGATTTTGTGGACAATATCCATTCATAATGTGTAGTAAAGGAAACAGTGAAGACGAAGTTCCTGTAAAAGGGAAACCGAGTGACACACGAATTAGTAATCTTATAAACGTTTTTCGTGACGAATATGGCTCAGAACCAGACTTTATCGTCAAAGTTCCGGGCCGGGTAAATGTTATTGGTGAACATATTGATTATTGCGGCTATCCAGTGCTACCTTTAGCTTTAGAACAGTCCATATTAATTGCAGGTAGAAAAATAAACAAACAAGAATTGTTGATCAGAAATTGTGATAAGAAATACAACAAATATTTGACGACATTAACAACGTTTGAAGATATCGAAATTCTGCTAGAACCTCAGTCGAAACCTGATTGGTATAATTATGTGCTTTGCGGTATAAAAGGAGCATTAGAATATTTAAACAACGAATTTTTATTTGGATTGCAATTCCTAGTCGATGGCAATATACCGCCGGCATCAGGTTTATCGAGTTCATCTGCTTTGGTTAGCGCTGCATGCCTCTGTTTTCTCTACGGCCAAGGTGCTCCCACAAATAAAACAGAGATTGCATCTCTATGCGCAAGGAGCGAACGGTACATTGGAACTCAAGGCGGAGGCATGGACCAAGCTATTGCATTTCTGGCTGAAAAGTATAGTGCACAATACATTACGTTCAAACCCCTCAAAGCCCAACCCGTAGCACTCCCAGAAAATGCTGTTTTCGTCGTCGCTCATAGCTTAGCTGAGGCTAACAAAGCGGCCACAAATGACTTTAACAGACGTGTAATAGAGTGTAGATTAGCTGCCAAACTACTATCCCATGATGAAACGAGGGACCACAAGATCGTTACACTTAGTGAAGTACAAAGTCAGTTAGGCAAGAACTTAGACGAAATGATAAAACTCGTGAACGAAGTTTTGACCAAAAATATTTACACCAAAGATGAAATATGCAGCAAGCTAAACTTGACAGAAGCGGAATTGGACGAGATCTATTTGACACCAAACACACGGAACTTGAAGGAATTTAAATTGAAGCAAAGGGCTCTGCATGTTTATGAAGAAGCGAAACGGGTCGAATCTTTTCGTAGATTATGTGAGAACTTAGCAAATGGTGCTACTTCTTATCAAAATGGAAGCAATGGATCAGTTGCAAACGGCAAAGGAAATACTGATACATGTTCACTTGACAGCGTGCAAGTCCTTGGGAAGCTAATGTCAGCGAGTCACAAAAGTTTGAAGGAACTCTACGAATGTTCACATGAAAATCTAGATCGATTGGTGGACATATCGAAACAAATGAATGTCCATGCGCGATTGACTGGGGCCGGATGGGGTGGCTGTGCAGTGGCACTATGTCCAAAAGATCTCGTAGAACAATACATTGAAGCTCTTATAGATAAGTTTTATGTGCAAACCTGTAATATAGATAAGAGTTTAGCGCATAAATACGTTTTTGCTACGACTCCGAATCACGGTGCCATAATTTACGAATAAAAGTGCCTAGTCATTAACCCCCTTATTAATAAACGAGGAATAAGCTCACACTAGTTACGCCGTGTTTTGTTCATGTCAATCAAATGCCATTTGTCTTTCAACGAACAGAGACAAACCATGGATTAACTAATCCGAGCTTATTGTGCGTTTATTAATTTGGGGGTAAGTTGATTCCATGTGAGGTTACTAATGTTCTCTTATTAAATTTCGTGTACCGAATTAATAGTAGTTAATTGCACATAGCTAGATTTTATAAAAATATTCGCATTTATTAGTTAAGAAATTTAGTTACAATACTGTTAGTT